AAATAAACCCAGAAATATGAAGACAAAACAAACAACACTAAAAGACTAAAATCTAAAATTGAAATTACTTATTCTTTTTCTTCTGCCACTTTTTTACTGATGGATCTGGAAAAAGGTTTTAACTGAAAGGGTTTGATCTCTTACCATTATTCAAGCCATTCACTCACTGCAATGACATTTCAATGATCAAGTACATACACGCACAACGGTTTTCACTAGTGATTCACTTCTTTTAGGATCTTAAGTTGGTTAAATATAAAAAGATATTTGTGACTCAGATGCATTATCGGACAACATACTGATCCTCTGTAGGAACTTTTGGTTCTTATTTGTTGAAAGGAAACACTGGACATCAAAGTACATTCCTCTCTGATGTGACTGCCATCAGTACAGTACATATCACCGCGGAACACACGTATCACCACTGTACGTGTGTTACACACATGGACCATACACGAAACCCCCTTTGAGCACCAGTAGAATGTGGGTGAAGCAGCAGCAGTAGTTGCACACGCGCACACACACACACACGCACTTCACCCTGCACACAAGCGATGTAAAAAGCTGCAGATTTTTCCAACGTGAGCTGAGACACAGTGATATTTAGTGCTGGTGGCACTTTTGCTTTTCCAAAGGTCACTGCCCAAGGCCTATCACCCTTGGCAGGAGCCACTGGAAACATGTCCAACCACGTGAACTGACTGCTGGTTATCACAAACCTGACTCTCATTATGGGACTTCTCACACATGAAACCACATTGTGGAAGCTCTGAGAAAGAAATCACGCTGTGAAGAGCCAAACAGAAGCAGGTAGATCCGTTTTGCATGAATTAGCTCTAAAAGATCATTTCTATACCACAGGCAATCATCGCACATTTATCTTGCTGGTTCATGAATTTCAATAGTACATAAGATGTTTTTTTCTAATGCACTTGCTAGATTTTGTAATATAATCCCTAATATTATTTACTGCAACTAAAAAGGAGTGTATAAAAATTCTACAGATCTTCAGGCTGTATTAATTTCCTTGATCAATACAACAATTAACCACAGTGTGGAGACCCACCCACAGATCCAGCTCCAACAGGAGCTCCTGTGCTGTTCGACAGCTCCAATGGCAGGGGACGGGCTGAGTAAAGATCACAGAAATATGCTTTGTACAAAAGTATCGTTTAAAAACCACGCGACTACATGAGGAAGTTGTTACAGAGACAGCCGAAAAACAAAGTCCGCACGGAATCCCTGTCCTTAACGATTTGCACAGTTCCACTCAAACGTGACGCAAATAAAAGCGACCTGGTGCAAATCTCTTACAGCTCGGCAGAGGGTGACACACTGAGAACACACCACTGTCCTTGCCATGGCTTAGAATTTCACTGCTTTAGTCACTGAGCCAAAACGTCCTCAGATTATTAGGTCCTTTTATAAAATTATCAGTTGAAACAAAGAAATAAAAAATGCTTCCTAAGTATCATAAGTTAGGGTAACGGCTACTCAGCCGTGACTCTTTGAGAACACACAGAGACACACCGACACCGGACTAAATTCCAATATTCAAGCATCTCAAGACCTTTAGTTGTAATAAGATCCCAGTGAGTCTTGCACTCTAGGAAATGCTGCTGGTGGGTTGCAAAGGAAAGAAACACAGCCACGTCTTCCCTGAATATCACTGGGATTAAAATAAAAATCACATTGTCTAAAAATTACAGACGTCTGCAATCTTAACTGTAACCACTTTAAAAAGTGTGCATGTACTAGAGCTGCTAAAAATTTATGTACTTAGAAGTGTTCCAAGTGAAAATACCACCCTCCCTCCCACCCTCCAAGCCCAGGCAAAGCTGTTTTCCCCTTTAGAACATAAGCACCAAGAAGGTTACTTTTTTTGGTAGTGTGCATAATTGTGCTGGCTTGGGGTTTGAGTCCTTAAATTGGACTTCTTCCTCTACATTTCAGATTTTTTTCTCTCTTTCTGACAGTAGTACCAATCCTATGTCTGTAATGGAAAAGGGACCACTACTTTGGTCTCCTCTGTAAGAATTACCTCTATGAGATTTTATTTTAAAATAAAGCATGTCTACTACTAAGGACCTTTTAAACCTACTTTATATTCTCACAAGTTGGCTTTTTATGATTCTGCCAACCACAGCAGTAACTAAGACAACATCACCTGGTAGAGACAAAAAAAATAATTGTTTTTTTTAGATCTAAACTTGACAATGAAAAAACGGAATGTTCGAGATGCAATGTCAGTCCTAGAAGAAGCCTTTTGAAGGTGGATATGATCATTTAAAATTAAGAGCTAAAGATTAAAGACTGAGAGTTAAAATAGCACTCTGTTTCTCCAGATGAAAACTACTACCAGTCTCTTATTCCTTTGTCAACTCTCATTTGTTCCATAATGAGAGCTTTAAAGAGCAGTAGAATTACTTTACTGGATTCTTCTATGCCTCCTGAATATGCAAAGAGCAAATAAAACCCCCACCCTTGATCCACAGACATTCAATCTTTTTACAGCAATCACTGTGATCTGTAAAACAGACATATATTCCCAGATGTGCATATTTAGACGTGTATTCAACCCTCCTGGCATAACAGAATTTGTACAGTGTAAAGAAGTACTTTCCTATAAAAACGATACCTTGTGGTACATCACACAGGATACCCCTGAAGCACAGGATGTCAATACTGACCACCAAAAAGTAGCTTTATTTATAAATAAAGAAAATGCATTTTTAAATGCTCCCTGTAACATGTGTATGTCGCACTAGATTTTGACATCATCTATATCCATGGTGACTGCGAATTTAAATCATTAAGGACACAGTAAGTTCCAAGAACAGTTAATGGAAATCTTTTACAGACCTCAGTATGTTTTGGATTCAATCCTGCATTAGGGTCACAACACTTCTTGTCTCTCCACTTGACCCGGGTATACTCATTTGATAGGGATTAAAGAGGTGAAACTGATATTAAAATTTGATACTGTAAATCAGAGCAAATACAATGGTTCTATAGCCTCACTGAATTTAATATCTTACAGTAGTATAAAGTTTACACATAGTTTCATATTTATTTCAGAAGATACTGACAAAACTGAAAATATTTTATAAAATCTATTCAATTTAGTACTTCTCTGCAAACGCATTCTCAGCTTGAACAATGTATTAAACTTCGGTAAAACCAGGAAACCTCCCCTTCAAAAGGAGAAGCCGTTCACTTAGACAGAACCAAAGTGCTATGTAGAGAAGGAAATCTCTTCAGCCTTTGATGCCTCCTGCGGTGACACACCACAGTGACACACCACAGTGACACACCACAGTGACACACCACAGTGACACCAGGAGCGTGACCTATAGCAGCAAAGCAACCAATACATCGCATCCTACTCCCAGGTGTCAGACATCAGCCCCGAGCACATCAACTGCAAGGGTAGAGGAGAGCTCAGTGAAACAGTGTCACTTGCCAGGTGTCCACAGAACCAACAACTTTCTGAACCTACAGCAGCTTTAGCCTCAATTTCCATTTTTTCTTTCCTCTGCTGTATACATCCCATCTCTACTCATTTTCATGGCAAGGTCTAAATTAATTTCCAATGTCTTTAACAAAACATAAACTAGTATTTTATTCTCAACAGACCAGTTATCAAAACAGCAGAAATATTATAGATGCATATCCAAAGCAAAGCCAAGGTAAAATTAAAAGCTGAATCATCATTATATATTGCACCAAATTCTGAAATTGCAGAAGAAACATGAAAGAAATTTGAAATTCATTACTTATTACATTTCTCTAAAAAGGCCCCAACTTACTAATATGCAGAAATAGAAGCTTTAAATGTAGTTTGCAAGTAGTTAATAATCCAGACAGTCCTAGATTCACTACGAAACAAACTGAAAGGACTCAAATGTGAAGTTTAGTATTAATAAAACCCACTTGTACTAGTATATTAATAATTCAGAATAAACACATGTATAAAACAACAATACATTTTGGTATGTGTTAATTGAAGGTGTAGTATGCCATCGCAGCCCAAAGCCATAAAATTAACATAAGCTGATTGCACGTTAACGGAAGCCATTGTACAAATAAACCCTGGGGTAGGTACCGTGGTGAGAAGGTCATGGTCAGCACCATGATCTGTGCAAGAAAGCAGTTTGCCAACAGGTCTATAAAATACTACAGTATTTCATCATGAGAAGTATTTCTTTAATTTCCATGAAGAAGAAAACCTTGTGATACCCGGCATCCCAGTTGTTGTTTGTAGTCAATGAGAAAACAGGCTTTTAAAACACAGAAGAAAACCTGGGTGTCCAAATATTATCCATTGTGCCATTTCATTTTACCTTAATAGCTCATACTCTGTGTGAAGTATGTTGCTAGAAAAGGAAAGAGCAATATTCATGCTTATTCGATATTAGTATGTAAAAATCATGTTCCACAACCATTAGTCTTTGTTGTCTTATTCAGAAAAGAGCAGCATTCTTTCCCTGATCAGTTTATTCTTAAGAAAGAGCTGGTGACCCGTGCTTTCACGTTCCCCACGGGGATTATTTTCATTCTTTACTCACTGAACTATGAACTCCAGAAGAAAAACATTTTTGTGATATTTATTATTAATCTATGTTAATAACACACAACAATTAATAGAAATCACAAAATAAGAAATGAGTAAGACTGTCAAAATGTTGTCAAAGTCTTTGACCCCAATTTCTTTAGCTGAATACAAACCAGGTATGTGATGGAAACTACCTCGACTCGAACAGAAATTTTGAAGAAGACAAAAATAAATGGGTACTAGATAATTAAGGCAATTAAACCACATGCAATTATCCACTTGTCAAACTCTACTGGATTTCCCACACTACAAATATGCTTTCATTCTCTTCTATTGCTTCATTGGTAGAATTATAGCATTGAACACGCAGTTACAAAAGTAGACTTTAAGTAAAGAAAGGTAAGAAATCAAAGAGTTTGAGCTATCATAAGCTCATTTTTGATACCTTGCTCTATACTGCCACTTCTTACTGGAACTTGCGGCAGCTGCCTTCCCCTGCGACTGCTGAAGGACGTGTCTGCAGGAGGAGACTGCGTGGGGCTTCCTTGCTGATGTATTCTGCAAACAAATTAAGATAAAAGTAAAATACCCCAAATGAAGACAGTTTTTATATTCTGAATTTTAAACACATATTAAGGTGCATATACTGAAGGTGGATTTGAAAAAGTTTGCACTGGATGTATGCCCATGCACATACTCAGGTCTAGATACCCCGTTAACTTGTGAGGCCTCACGTTAATGTCTCTGACTGCCTTAAACTATGGAGAAATATTTTCTTTTGTTGGGGTTTTTATACTCTTGGTTGTTGGGTTTTTTTGTAGTAAAGAACTAGTCAAAAAACACTGAACAAAAAGCCGTTTTCTAAGAACCATTTATGGTTATGTCTCACAATTATGTATGTCCTCCTGCACTGCTACAAGAGCAATATAAAATGCCACCTCTATATTTTATTAACTTTTGTGTTCCCTTTGTGCTGATGCAATAATTACCCAAGGCCACAGAGAACTAGGACAGCACGTATCTATTCCCATTGGATAATGCGTTGTTCTTCCCTGAACTCAAAGAAGGAAAAAGACCTTTGCGCTGGGTACTGGGGGGGAACGCGGGTGTGTGCACACAAAGAATGGGTGAGATTTTTAATATTTGTACCTAAGAAAATACCCGAAGCTGCTCTGGCTGAACTCTAGCTGGCACGATTTCAGAGCATCTGGGCTACTCGACTCCTTATTCATAGATGCAGCATCTGAGTGTAACGCATCAAGCACCTTTGGAACGCCGGTAAGTTTGCACTTAAAATAAGTAGGGCCACCTCTAATAATGAGGGGAAAAGGTTAAGAAGACAAAACAAAGATGAGAAGCAGCAGATTGCTGAGCGGGAGAGCTTACTCTCTAAATGCCCTCACCAGCTACAGCGGCGTCACGCTCGCTGGAGGGGATGAGCACTGGTCATCCTCTACACTAAGGCTGCAAGCAGATAATTTGGGATTTTAAGTAACATATTTATGCAAATTGAAATAGTGTTGTCTGTCACACTACAGAGATCAGCTGACTTCCTCTTAGCCTGCAGGATCAGAGTTAGCTGTGTGAAAAGCATGTGATTTCCTGCATGGTGTTTAAGAAAAATATTGATAGTTGTCATATGGATACAGAACAATGCGCAACAATGGAAGGAATAAACATGGGCAATCGTGTAAGTTTGCATTGGATGTACGCCCCACGAACAACACGTGTGACAACAGTACCAGCATGGAGCAGGCCATGAACACCTAGCTTCACCACAAAGTACTTCTGTTCCTAAAACATACTTTTTACCTTTATTAAAAATATTAACTGGATTTCACTTATTGTCCTAAAAAAGGGCAATATGTAACTTCCTTGTTTTCCTTAGGAGTTTAAATTAACACATCTATTTAAGTATCTTTCTGCTGTAAGCCCTAAACCAGAAATATAGTTCTGAAGGAACTCTGATGAAAATAGAATTAAAATATGCAGTAAATTGATTAATCATGTTAGCATAATAAAGGATAATTATTAGTAGTGTAATAACTGCATACACTGCAAGTATATAACCTGAAATATTTGACGTTTGCCGAGTGACAAAGCACTCTAACTGTGCTTCTTGCCTCTTCCTTGGTTTCCCACCAGGGCAGCATTTTGTCAATGGTATCACTGCATCTGCTGCTCTCTCAGAAACGTCCATTTCCTGAGACATCATTTCACTGGGGTTTTGGGTTTCTGTTAAACTTCTGCAGACTTACAAAGTCTCCCTTCACACGCCCAGCACGACCTTCTCATAAGATTCAGTCAAAGTTCCCAAGGGCCTGTCTAGTTGATATGACTATCACACACTGAAAAGTCATCCTAAAAACAATTATATATATATATATATATATATGAGATAACATGCAGATGCCCACCCAGGATAAAAACCAGGTTTTGTTTCAAACCCATTTCAGCAGTAACAGTTCCTGTGGACATCCAGCCACACCACAGCAAAAGCAGGATGCTGTTGCCCCCGCTACGTTCTCTCTCCTAAACCCTAACACACAATGGCCCTGCTGACAACCGAGACATTCCTGCAGAGACTGATTCCCTTATTGTAAAAGATGCTTACAATAACTAAGATGAGCTGAGTTCTGAAAATGCCTGTTTCTCCATGCTGGTGAGATGGTAAAAGTAGTCCATGCCAACTACTGAATTCAACCAGCTTTTAAGCATCCATCTTCTCAGACGTTTAAATATCGTCACTTCCATAAGGTAAATGTGGATCCCATTCTGTGCCAGAAACCGCTTGCTTGATTTTACTATGCTTTTTACTTTTTTTTTTTTTTTACTTGCTTTTACTATGAATTAATGTCCCAATCTAATGAAGTCATCATGTTCTCCATTCTGATTTTTCTCATTTTAGAGGCTAAATATCCTGGAATTTATCTGAGAGCCCTGTGAAGCACAGGGTTCCACTGAAGCACAGACACTTCACCTCATTCACTTGGAAGGTGACTTCTTACTTTTTCAGTGATACCCATTTTACAGACCTGTCCCCTTCCAAAGACAGAGGATCTGCTTAACTAAAATGAAGACAAATTAGGCTTAAGACTTGCGTTAGCTGGGGTATGCCATTGAGACAAATCTGATACGTGGAGTGCAAATGAAAAGTGGTCTAAAAGGAGAAAAGCTGGAATGGAGTTAAGGACTTGCTGGGCGAGGAGAAAGATCAGCTGCTGAAAGGAAGAAATCTGCAAACGGCTGCTCAGGAGAAGGAGCCAGAAAGGAAAAATCCCGGGAGACAAAAGCTCCTGTACGACAGAGGAAAGGAGACAGGGGTGAGATAAGAAGAATGGAGAGGAGAGGGATTTGGGAGAGAAATGATACCCGGAGAGCGATGAGCCTGCAATAAGCTGACAGCTGTGTGCCATCTCCTGGTCCCTCCACAGGAAGGTAACGTTAGAGGCAGAAAACCTGTTACTTGCATTGGCACCCTACGGGCTCCAGCTCTGCCTGCGCACAAGGAACCCCAAACTCCTCTCTCTCCAGAGGCACATGCTGAATTACACAGAGAGAGTAGGAGTAGAGAGCACTGCCAGCCAGCGTCCGGCAGGAGACTGTACCTGGCACCACAAACCCGCCAGGGCACCTCCAAACTGGCACTTCTGGGGTGACCAGTTACGGCTGAAAGAAATTTTAGGATTGGGATGAACCCAGTTTTACCACAGTTTTTCTCATTCATTCAAGCACAGATACCATTTGATTTTCATGTAATCATTTTTACTCCTTCAGAAGATTTTTCTGAATCCCATCTTGAAGGCTTATAACTATCCTGAAAAGGTTTATTTTTCCCCTTTTATGTGTACTTCCTACACTATCACAAGACATAGAGAACTTAATCTTACAGAGCGTGATGAAAAGTTTTCTAGCTGATGGCATGCTGGCAACTAATTCCAGTAATCTGCTTAGCTAATAGTAGACAAGATCTGCAAACTGCAAAATAAAGACCAAATCTAAGACAGAAATGGATATTTGAGGAAGACATAGTCTTGAGCTATATTTGCCATTTGACAAGAAAATTAATTGCCTGTCCTATTATGAAAACTTTCTGGCACTAGTTAAACATTATATCTATGATGAAACACTAAACCACAGCACTCAGATGTATTTAGACATTTGTGTCTCACATCTAATAGCAGTGAATCATTTTATGGAAACACAAACCTACACCATGTGCCACAGAGATATAAAAAGAAGCAGCAAAATTCACATTTCCCTATGCTCTTCTATAGGTTCATCGCTTTTAAGATCATTAGTAATCAGAACTGGCTTTTATCTTTGGAACCTAAAAATGTAACTATGGGGACTCATACTTTTGGTAACTTTGCTTAACTTCAGGGGAAAAGAACCCTAACAGATTTATGTTTTTTACTTAGTTTTCCTAATCAGCTAAGAAAAGCAAATTCACATTGCTTCAAAAAAAACCAAAAAGAAACAAACACACACACCCCCAAACCAACAACACTTTCACCCCCATCCCCAAACACTAGCACCAGGTAGTGAGTTCCCAATTATTACCTGGGAACATATTGATGCCAAATTTATCCCAGCACAGCAATGACTAGAGTATGCACTTTCAATCCATTAAATCCCATTAAAATTCTGTATATAGGCACTGTAGCAATATTTCAAGTGGCTTCTAGACTCACGCTTTCTGACATACATTAATAAATCCTCTTTATACATTATAACTACGGATAACTAAATCCTCATTGTACATTATAACTATGAGAAGCTTTGAAATGTCCAGGTTAAAAAAAAATCTCAGCATTTCAGACCTGGGCTGGTCATTGCAAGAAAAGAAACACGTTGCCCAAGCCTCAAAAATGCCTCTTCATAAATAGGACTCCATGCTCATTCTTAAGAGATGGAGCCCATTTGGAACTGGCATATTCAGCATAACATCCCCAAATCACAGTCCCTGCAAACCTGCTCCTACATCACCTGCAACACCTGAAATGTTAAGTATTTCAAAATTATGATCTACATCTTGTGTATATTGAGATTACTGTAAAACTAATCAGAGTAAACAGGATTTATTGAGGTGTATGTTTCTGACCTGTGCAGTGATCTTAACCTCTGTAGAAGAAGGATGCTCCCAGCTGACACTGCAATCCCAGCTGTGAAATGCAAATGCATCTGCAGACACAGGGGCTGGAGCAGCCACTTCCCTCTGCCCTTTCGCCACCAGAATCTCTTATATGTTCTTTTCCTTCACTATCCTTTCTGTTGCCATACTTTGCAGTTAGGTTTATGTTCCCATTTCTTCCCCTCCCATTTACCCTGTATCTCTTTCCCACCCTATCTCCCTCCTCACTCTCCTGCTATCTCTCCAGCCGCACGGTCCCAGCAGTTACCACGAGCCTTCAGCCCTTTGGGCCTCGGTCCCAGCAGCTCCCCTCACTCTTCAAAAGTTAGGAAAAAACAGGGGAAAAAATGGCTGTGGTGATTTCAATGGCAAAACTGCCCCTGGTTTAACCACAGCGAGGATTTCAGCCATCACTTGGGTAATTTCTCTGGTCTAAACTGAAAAAGCCCCTGGGCTGTTGTGACAACAGAATCATCAAAACCAAGAAAAATGCAACTGTTGCTTTTGGATGAGGAACCATAATCTGGAACTTGAGGCAGGAAAATAAAATAAAAGCTCTGAAGTTTTGCCACATAAGGGGCATTTGCATTGAAAATAAAAATGTGTCTCTGTTGTGCATGGAAGTTTTTCAGCCCTCGCGATGTAAACAGAGGGACGTTCCTCCTCGGCTCAGCAACTAACGGAAACCCTGACAAAGGCAGGGTCCCCCCCCTCCTCACTGCTCTTCAGCCAGTGCACAGGCTTTAAACCTTAACTAGATGTACTTATGAATTAGTATATATTTTTATTTTTTTCACTTTTACTTCAGAATTTGAATACATAACCCTGTGCTACTGCAGCATCAAAGTTAGAAGTTACAACAAAAATACAAGTGTAGGAAAATTCAAGGAATACAAAGGTCAAAGTCCCAGTGTTTATATTAACTTTAAGTAATGTTAGATCATACAATTTCCTATATGTATCTAAATGTGTAACTTAATGTTTTTATATTATAAAGTGAAATTAATTTGATCAGGGTCATCTTGAGTTACTAATCTGTCAATATGGGTTTTTTTAATCCTCAATTTTTTTGTATAATAGATGAGATTTTTTGAAAAAAGGCCAGTGGTAAAGCACAGAGAATGTTCTGTCCCACACTAATGAAATAATTCTACACATTCCCAAATTTCATCTTGCAGAGATCAAGACAGTGGCAACGCCTCATGTTTTGGTTCATAAAGCAGATGGACTGCAAGTCCTTCCCACCCAGTTTATCTGCAACGATGGAGAATGCCAGAACAATTCCGTATGTAAGCAACGCAGCAAGCAGTGCTAATAACAGAAATTCAGAGTAAATACTAGTGTAAATTACGACAACACAGCTTTTGGTACGGTGACGGGTATATTCCAAAGCCCGGGGTCAGAGGGACTGTAGGAGACGCTCGCTCACGGATCAGCAATCCTACCTTTCTGTGTCAGAGGCGGGGCCTTTCCTAGCTTGTTTTTGGCTGCTATATCTTTCCACTTTTCTGGACTGCCTGTGAAATGACATGTCACAAAAGAAATAAACAAAGAAGAAAAAGAATACAGAAATGTGAAGATTATTCATTAATGTATTATAAAGGCAATAGCAGCAATGGCTGAGGGATGAGGAGGTGACACCCATGGCCATGAGCGCGGGGGGAGGTGAGGGTCAGGACACTGCCCCGATGAGGGGGGCTGAGGCTGAGGGTGGGAGAGTTACGAGGTACCAAAATGGGGGAGAACATTAATCCTGACCGAACCCGCGGCTGGCTCCCCTGCACAGCCTGCATCTGATCAGAAACAATGACTCCTCGGGGGCTTTTTGGTTGTCTCTGAACAGCAGGAGGAACAAACGCAGAGCAGACAGCAGGAAAAAATGTTGCAGAAAGGACCAGGAACTACTATTCAAATGTCAACTTTAAAAATGACTTTTAAACCTACATTTCAAAAGTAAAACAAATACTGTATCATATCAGATATAAATAATGCTGTCACTATACAAATAAAAACTTGGCTTTTCAAAAATCTTATTTTTAAAACTTGTTAAAGTTTTTTTTAGAAACAATTTAAAGCAGTTTTACCTTTTCTACTCAATATAAGTAAGTTAGATGTTTATTTCATTCGCTTGCTACTTTCCCACATAAATCTTTTATAGAATTCATCTGACATTTGGCTAGTGAGGCATTAATTATCTCTGTCAATTTAAGCATTTACTTTGATAGTAAATAGGATCAATGAACAGGGACATGAGTCAATAAGTGTAAGAACGAAGGTAAAGCGTGTTTCACCATTATGACCCGGGACTATAAATATACTATGACCATCTCTGCAAGTCCTTGGGTGTTCCAAAATTTTCTTTACTATCCATAGTAATATGAGCATTTACAAATCAGGGTTTAGAATATTAAACCTCTGATAATCATCAATATATATTAATTTTTTTGAATAAGAAGTGTATACAGTATTTCCAGAGTGGTCAAAACCAGGGAGCGATGATTATTCATTGACAGACCAGAAATGTTGATAATGCCTAACCGGCATCTCACACCGGTTCAAGAGACATGTAAGGATATAATCAATGTCAATCAATGTCACATAATAAGCTATAAAAGAATTACTGTGGGCGACACAAATAGATAAAAATAATATTTAAAAAAACACATTTTCCTGTTAAACTTTTGTGGTTAGAAAGTGTAATCCAGTGTTTAAACTGGAAAATGCCTAAACAGCTGTAACAGCAAATTATACCCAGAGAACAGAATGACAGAGGATTTGCATTATTTGTACCCACTGCAGTGTTCGATGAGCTTTTATTGTGGTGCAGTGTGCTCCACAACAAAGGAAATACTGCAGCAAAATACAAGATGTTTTTTGCACTAGCAGAGGTCGTTACCCAATGCTTTCCGGGTTGTAAAAGAGTATATTTTCTTACCAAAAAATGATATATCAGATTAAAAATTAAAATCCCCTTTGTCCTTAAATTATTTTCTCCAGATTTATTTTTTGTATATTCTCATTACTTTTTCATTCTTTTCTATACCAGGAAAAAAATCAAGATGGATACACAGGGAAACACAGAATAAATGCTGCAGCTTCACTTAAAAGCTGAGGTCAGAGCAGTATTTCCAGTTACGCAGGTCACAGACTGCAGCAGCGTTGCCTCACAGGGCGTCACCTTCTTCATCCTCTTTTTGGTGGGCTTATTTCCCTCCCACTCCTGCGACACCACGTGCCAGGCAGAAGAAGAGCCCGTGGTGACTACCCTTTGTAGGGTGGAGATGCTGAGGGCAGGACGTAGCTTCCTGGGAGCAGCGACAAAGTGATGCACAGCACTAGAGCTGGGAACACTCATTCCTCCGCCCTCTGTGCTGTCCCTGTGAGCAGCACAGGTTAGAAATAGCTTTGGAAAAAACAATTCCCTTTCTGTTCCCTATCTCTCGCTACGATGGTGCTGCACAGGGTTCCCTATGGCTCCAGAGCATCCATAGCCCCGGCACTCACAGCCGTCCCGTCCCGAGCACAGGGAGGGCACCCACAGGCACCTGGGTACCAGGGGGGTCCTTTCCTGCCCAGTACGGTGTCTGGAGAGCGCACTGGGGATAAGAACGCTCACCTCATACTCAAATTTACCTCTTAAATGTAGTTTATAGAGGATTAAATATTATCTATGGACAATACATGCATATATCAAAATAGAAAATAGAAATCAAAATCAAAATAGAAAAAAGTATCTATGTGCAAGTTTTATGCAGAGCAAGCGAAGGACATACTATAACCAACACCTCGTTTACTGGCAACTACAATTGGAGTAAATTAGGATACCTCTGTGGTGCTCCAGGTTTAGCACTTAGGTGGTCTACACTGTCCTGTTTTGGAATGCAAGACTCCAGCGTCCTTGTTCTTCATGAAATTTGGGAACATGGATGTGAATTTGGGCAGAATGAGCAGAAACAGAGAGATGGTCACATGCAGCGAAGGTGGAGACATGAGCAAATACATAAACCAAAAGCATTCAGGCACCCTCTGCCAATTAAGACTACGTTTCTCATTTCCCCTTCTGTTGATTTAACCCATACACTTTAAGGAAATGTTAACATTTTTAGACATAATGTCAACAATCTCAGATGCAATAAAGAATGAAAGCCGCAACCATATTTTTAAAAACCTTTACACTCAACACACTGAATGGCAGCACTGTGGCTTCATCGCTGCCATTATCCTTCCTGAGAATTCACCTACACTATTGTTCCATACATAAATATATATAACTTTACAGAACATTTTCCCTTCGGACTTTGAAAAATGCAGAATTTGTCATTATATTGTGAAATTCTCCTGAAAAGGCAAGTAAATGTCATAATTTCGTATTTGATGAAAACTTCATGTTCCGTTGCCAGCCGGTCTGCACTAGTAATAATTAACAGCAACTCCATAGCAAGGTAGAATAACTGACTCAGCATTTTTTAACAAATTCAAATAAAGTTCAGAATATTTCTTAATTTCTATATTCTAATTTCTGCTGAAGCTGCTTTAGAACTTCAGAATTTGTTCTCAGCTTTCAATTTAGCATAAATATTACTAGCTTGTTGGTTTATTACTAGTTTTTAGGGAATATATGGTGAAAAAAAATTCTTGATAAGGTGTAACAATGTAAGGTTTTCTTCAAATATTAAATTTGGCTTTTAATGAGAAAACTCAGAAAAATTTCAGTTGACTAATAATCTAGGGTATGTAATAAATTTGCATCTATAGCTCCATTAGGGTGAGGAAATGCTAAAATTCCTCTTTAGGATCATAAATCTACCACCTGTGACACCAAGTGACTGAGCAATTTGCCTTGTAAGGTGTACAGCCAAGCGCTGTCTGTGACGTTATGTACAGACAAACCATTCACAGGTCTTGTTCCAAAGACCCATGTGCCTCAAAGTATTTATCACTGTTGAGTGGAAACAAGATCTACACACAGAAATATGATAATAGGCCTACCAAAATTAAAAATTACTACTCCTAAAGTGACAAAGTAACATTTTTAGAATGAATAGAATAGAATAGAATTCAGTGTCTAACATTTAAAATTATTTATTACCAGCTTGTACAAGAGACCTCAGTGGTTTGCAGTGAGTCTGGTCATCAACGTCATGTTCAACGCTTCCTGACTTTTCCTGAAGATTTGTTAAAGGCTGTACCTCCACGGTAAGTGAGCTGGGAGGTGACAGCTACTCTGAGGGCTTTGTAGCTCCTCACACTCACTCCTCGGACTCTGCTCAGGTCCTGGAAAACTGCCTCCCTGGTCGAGTCACACAGAGTTGCTGGAAAGACGGGAGAGCCCAGCCCGGCTCACGCAGTCCACACTGGCTGCACCAGCACAGCTCCAGCTCCACCGCTGGCATCGGCTCCACAGCCAGCATAGTCTTGGTTATACATTGAAATTAGATGTGTACTCCTCAAGAAGAACAGTCTCAATACAATTCCCACCTACCATTAAATGCTCAACTTTCATTGCCTTTCTTTTTATCATCATTTACAATTCCCCATTTTTTTTCACCTTGCACACTTTCTAGTTTCTAATACAAAACCCCAAAAAACCTCCCAGTAATGAAGCTATCAAATCCAAACTAAAACATCATTCTTTGAAATATCCCAAAGAAATACGTGATACTAACCAAACACTTGTTAATTCTAAGCACTGCCCATGTCTTCATTTTGCCAAGGTACATTAAGGAGTCACTCCTTCTGATATGGCAAGTGAATGAATTCCAGAATAACAACAATCTTGCCAAGACCTTTACTAAAACTTAACTTGTGAATCATTATCAATAAATACAATGTTGCAAAAACTCAATTTAAATTATCAGAATTAGAAATAACGCATAAGTCATATGTTTAAGAAATGTATTCAGAAATAGAACTTCTTGATTGCACTCTATATGCAAATTGGGCCAATTTGTAAGATAAATCTGGCATGTACTCAGATGAAGAATAAGATGACATCTGTCAAAGCCAATTAGTCTGTGAAAAGCGAGAGCAGCAATAAGCCGTTAGTTACCCCTGCTGAGCCATCAGACACTCCTGCCCCACACCCACGGCATGGCTTCTCAAACTGAGACAAGCACAGCTTAAAAAAAGGAATTATGGAACTGAGGGATGTTGGCCAACTGCCAAAGGCACAGGAAACGGTGAGAATAAATGTAAACTTAAAGAGCAGAAAACAAAGGTAAAGGCCCTTTGACTCCCTCCTGATACCCTCTCTCCAGACAAGGTGGGCTATTGCTTTGTATTGGGCACACGATGCAAAGAGCCCAGCATTCTCTGAACTTCTCTCAATCTGGGAGAAAGATCCTGGAACTGGGAGGCTGCAACCACTCCTAGAATCATGGAATGGTTTGGGTTGGAAGGGACCCTTAAAGGCCATCTAGTCCAACCCCCCTACCATGAGCAAGGACGTCTTCAACTCGAGCAGGTTGCTCAGAGCCCCATCCAACCTGACCTGGAATGTTTCCAGGGATGGGACATCCACCTCCTCTCTGGGAAACCTGGGCCACCATCTCACCTCCCTTACTGTAAAATCTTTCTTCCTTAGATTTAGTCTAAATCTACCCTCTTTCAGTTTAAAACCATTACCCTTTGTCCTGTCACAACAGGCCCTGCTAGAAAGTCTGTCCCAGCTTTCCTGTAGCCTCCTTAAGTACTGAAAGGCTGCAAGAAGGTCTCCCTGGAGCCTTCTCTTCTCCAGGCTGACCCCCCCCCAGCTCTCTCAGCCCCCCCTCCCAGCAGAGGGGCTCCAGCCCTCCCAGCATCTCTGTGGCCTCCTCTGGCCCCGCTCCAACAGCTCCATGTCCCTCCTGTGCTGAGGACCCCAGGGCTGGACACATGACTCCAGGTGGGGTCTCACCAGAGCAGAGCAGAGTTTACACATGGATGGATTATTTACACGAACCATCTGTATCCTGTCATTTAATGTAACACAAAAAATCTGGAGGGAAAATTTTGAATTTGTATCTCAATAAAAATTACAAAGTCTGTTTAAAAATATCCCCAGATCTATCTAGGAAAAAAAAAAAAAAAATGGACCCTTAAAGGCCATCTAGTCCAACCCCCCTACCATGAGCAAGGACGTCTTCAACTCGAGCAGGTTGCTCAGAGCCCCATCCAACCTGACCTGGAATGTTTCCAGGGATGGGACATCCACCTCCTCTCTGGGAAACCTGGGCCACCATCTCACCTCCCTTACTGTAAAATCTTTCTTCCTTAGATTTAGTCTAAATCTACCCTCTTTCAGTTTAAAACCATTACCCTTTGTCCTGTCACAACAGGCCCTGCTAGAAAGTCTGTCCCAGCTTTCCTGTAGCCTCCTTAAGTACTGAAAGGCTGCAAGAAGGTCTCCCTGGAGCCTTCTCTTCTCCAGGCTGACCCCCCCCCAGCTCTCTCAGCCCCCCCTCCCAGCAGAGGGGCTCCAGCCCTCCCAGCATCTCTGTGGCCTCCTCTGGCCCCGCTCCAACAGCTCCATGTCCCTCCTGTGCTGAGGACCCCAGGGCTGGACACATGACTCCAGGTGGGGTCTCACCAGAGCAGAGCAGAGTTTACACATGGATGGATTATTTACACGAACCATCTGTATCCTGTCATTTAATGTAACACAAAAAATCTGGAGGGAAAATTTTGAATTTGTATCTCAATAAAAATTACAAAGTCTGTTTAAAAATATCCCCAGATCTATCTAGGAAAAAAAAAAAAAAAATCAAAAAAATTACTACTCCCAAAGGAATGGAATAGCAAAACTGATTTGAGTAGAAAGTTCAGGACAAGAAAGTAACAAAAGTGCTTCTATTAATCATAGGTGGTATTCAGCACAAAAAATTATTTAAGGCACTGGTGTTTTTAACCAAAACCTACCTTGTTAGGAAAAGCTAATCCATGGAGACCATCCTGATTTGGACAGAATTTACAAACAGTGCCAGTTTTCACATACATCAACTAGCAAGTGTTACCAAAAGTTCCAACATATCAGTTTGTGGGTTTTCCCCCCTTATGAACAGTTTGTTAAATAAAGGAAAATAAAAACAATAAAAATAAAAATAAACACCTAGACAAGAATAGTCTCTACAACAAATATTTATCGCATTATAAAGCACCGCAGTGAAAACAGCACCAACATTTAGGGAAGCAGGTGAAAACAGAGCAATCAACATGAACACAGATGATGCTCTGTTTGTCAGACATCTCATTCCACAGCTCGTGACCGTCCAGGCACACAGAAAACTTGACAAGACATTAATTCTGAGGTGCTTTATAACAGTTTGACAAGATGCAGAGAAGATATCTAAGCTGCTGTTTTATTTTGGGCTTCTAGAGGTTGTAAATCTCCTCTCCACATCTGCACGTGTCAAATGTGGGTACACTCCTGGGAGAGCACAAGGCGCAGGGAGGCACTTCCCAACCGGAGGAGCTGACCAGTACCTGTCGTCCTCCGGAGATGCGTGCTGGATATGAATCCTGGGACTAGTAGGTCGTCTCCTCTCTAGGGAGGGGGACCATCTACCCCTGTTTGCCCGTTCAATAAAACAGGAAAGAAACAGGATATTTAGTTTGTGATAAAATTAAATATATGGGATGTGGGACTGGAAAAATACCCCAAAAAGTAATGGAAGCGTCTCATTTAATGATTTTTTTTCCTAGCAGTTTTCTAATCCCCAGGTATACGATTTTTACGGCTGCTTACTGCAGAAACATTAGACTGAAACCAAGCGAATGGATGGCCAAAGATGCAGAATTTAGAATGATATAAATCTTTTACAGAGTGTACCACTAAGTTTTCAAATATTCTTAAATGCTAGACTATCTAAACCCCTGTCTTTCACATAAGAAGTTGTAATTCCAAACTAGAACAGCTTTTCAAAGACCATATGATGGCAATTTTCTGTCGGCTAAGGGCTGGTGTTTTGTCAAGCCCATCTCTCCTAGTTCTTTGCACTGAAAAATGCATTCTCAGTAAAAATGCAGGACTATGAATTATAACAAAAATTCTAAGCCATAAAGCAACCCTTTTCTGGAACTCAATGAGAGAATAAAGGTAAATTAATTAGCTACAACTAAGCTACATACATTTGTGTACAAGGACTGTGGTAGTTTTTTTTCCCTTAAAAATACAGTGTGTGCAGCCAGCTTCCTCTTCTGCGCGTTTCTCTGCATCCCTGCAGTACATGCCAGCAGATTACATTGTATAAATTTAACAAAAAGGACCTGAATTGTGGATGAAAACTGGCGCTTTATGCGATTTTTTTCTTGAAAACACTAATTTAATTCAGAATGACACATGCTATAATATAGAATGGTGCTGCATATTTTGTTGGGATTTAAATGGTTATCATCAAACAGGTATAACGTCACAAAATCAAAATCCACTGATTAATTCACAAACAGCAAAATGTTTACATAAACTCTGCACAAGTATTTGATATTTCACTTTCTGAGGCATCCTTCCAGCCCATGTAATAAGGAAAAGGGGTTGGATTATGGAACATGCAAATAACAAAGGTTTCAAGGAGATTAGCATCACTTGAACAGGTAGGTAGATCTTTCAGAAGTTTCAGGAGGAAACAGGGTGTTAGTAGTTACTTTCTTTTTCTTTCCAAAGCAAGAGTTAAAGAAAATGTTAATGCACCAATGCACTCAGTCAAAGCCCTTAATATGCTGATGTCCACTAAATATCAAAGAGCATTGGGTAGGATTGACCAGGCCATGCAGTGTGAGCTTTGAGAACATGCTCTCTTCCCCTGGAGGCTGAATGACCACGAGCCACAGTGTAACGCAGACAAACATGCAATAACCTACTCCTTCACACGCTTGAAAGGAACTGGAAACATAATATGTTGCATACCTAATGCAAACAGTTATGTTATACAATATTTCAAATGTAAATGGTGATACTCAATGTGACTGTTAAAGGCATGCAACATAAACACCTAATACTTCAGAATTACCAAAAACCTTAGAAAAATCAGCATGACACGAGGCCATGCCCACAGCCCTGCTGAGAGCACACCAGCCCTGCCCACTCCCACAGCCCTGCTCCTGCGCTACGTGCTAACGAACACGACGACTGCCGGCAACATAAGAAACTTTAAAAGTAATTAAAAGCCACACTATATATTATGAAGTAACTACCACTGGCTGTGATCTTAAATCAATCTGGGGAAGATGGTATGATGATGAGAAACCACTAGGTGATACTGCACCTAAACCTCATGCCCACGGGCTTTCCTGACGGGAGGCTGGGGTCGCAAACAAATTTCTCTGCCCTGAAGAAATGGTATCCAATTTACAGGGAAAAAAAGCAGAAATTTTGAGACACAGTGAAAAGGACAATAAAAAAATCATACTAAAGGAAGGAATAGCAGCAAAAACATTTTCAATGTCATTAAAGAATATTTATGGCTATATTATAAACTAACATATGCCTTGCAGATCATAACAGGAATTTCAACAGAACCGTTTTGAAAAAAAAACCAAAACAACAAAACAGTGTGGAATAAATAGAAGGGGGTAAAAAAAAAAAAAAAAGGGGGGAAAAAAAAAAAAAGGCAGGCATGGTGCAACTGCATAGATGCATTAGTAGGGGCTGGGTATTTTTGAGAACCTAGTGTGTACTGTGCCAAAGAGTAATTCATGAAAGATTCAGTTCCGTACGAAAACTTCCCATTTAGCAAAACACTTTGGCAGGGCTGTGCCAGGGCAAGGTCACTCTGCCAAGAAGTTCCACAAACTTCCCTGGCTGGAATGATGATGCTCAGCCCAAGAGAAAAGGATGCCTTTTGTTGTTGTTTAGCTTTTCTTTTAGTGCAAATAACAAGACTTATATATCCCAAATTCTGCTCGTATATGTGGATCAACAAAATGACTTCTACTGGCAAAGTTGCGTCTTAAAAGCAGCAACTACTCCAACCATTCCAAATGACACGAATGATCTTGTATAGAGTTTAAGGATCAAAACTATTCCCAACGAATTGTTGACACAGAAAAATAGGGCTCCACTGTCCATCAGTTACACACAGCCAAAACCATTTTAAAAAAAAAAAAAAAAGCTCAAGTGGACCGTTTAAATTCTTGATCTCAAATACAGCCTGATTTACAACCTCTGAGATAAAAGGGGGGGGATAATTAGAAATAATTTTCCATAGGTGAGTATAGTCATAATTTTGTTGAAGAAAATATACAATGCCACACTCAGAAGTCTGTCTTCATTTTTTGAGAACTACAAGTCTAAATTTTTAAGTAAAATCTGCAGTTCCATTTGGTGGGGGAGAGGAAACACCATAAAAACAACTAACTATACCTTCACCATAGGTCCCTCAAATGCAGTGACAGCACAGTGGTGCCGTCCACATTGGACTTGACACAACCCCGGTGTTTCCCTTGGCTCCAAGCAGCACCACCTCCACCCTGACAGTCCTCTCCCTCATCTTTTCTCAGACAGTCTCCAGCAACGAAGTCAAGACAACCTTTTTGATATCATCCATTGCAGTGTTTCATTACACGTGCTTTCAAAAAAGCTTTACTACTGTTTAAGATGAACCTATCTTGCTGTATTTTAAGTTCCTTATTCTTGCCCAGCACAGGAACTAAGTGCTTTCTACATACCTTGAACTCAGTTCTGTGCTCTTCAAACTGAGGACTCCTTTGTCATTACACACAACTGGTCACTAACCTCATGTTAAAGTGTAAGTAGATACCTTCAACAGTGGAGAACTAAATCTTCTAAAATCAGCTTCCCCCAAACCAAAAATATTAATTTGGTGGGTTTTATACATTAAACATAACACCCTTCTCCAAAATCAGGGCTGTATTGGAAAAACATCATCTATGTCAGAAGAAAAAAACAAAGTGTGTCTTACATCCTCTGCAGAGGCACACAGATCTTATTGTGTATAACAAAAGCATTGTGGAAAAAGGGAATATGAATTTCCTAAAAAAGAGCTTTTCTGCACCCTCATGAAGGATCCCAAATCAAAAGCTCCTATTTAGGACTTCTGAGAGCAAGGAAGTGAAAGTTTCCAGTAAGGGAGAGTTTTTCTAGCCCAGGGATGCTCGGGGGCAGCAGAGGCCGCTCACAGAATGAACTCACAGGAAACGCTGCAGGTTCTGAGCAGGGATGTTGGACGGGACTGCTGGGCAGGAATTATAAAGACCAGATAACATCAGGGGCATGTGGAGACTTGAGAATAATAATTTAACTAGATACTAGATAGTTTACAATTGCCAGTTACTGTTTCATTGAATATTCAACCTGATGGGTGGCATGTTGAATACAGTACAAAACAGACCGCTCATGTCCAGACATTATTACATTAAATAGCTGCGTGTAGATGAATTCAGATATTTATATCTACACACTTTGCTATTAATATGATGCTATAGTATTTTTTTAAAAAATCTAGAGTGATATCCTGTATTTCATTCTGAGTGGCCTTATTTCTGTCATACTATTTTTTGGCTTTTAATAACCATGCATATATTATCTATGATATCTTGAGCTCAATCTTAAACAGGAATGAACTAGTGTGGATCCTCTTGAGGTATCTCAGTAGAGCATTACTCACTCTCCAACAAGGGCACAACATGAGAAGAGCGAAGTTCTACTCAAGGAGCAGCAGGAAGTGGGGAGGAGAAAAAGGGAAATTTCACAAAAAACTTTGGAGAAACCTTGTCTCAAAGAGAAAAGTATGTTCTTACTGCCTTTCTCACAGGTCCTGTCCCACACTAATGAAAATGATGCAACTGTTAAAGCACCACGCTGTGGGGGGGCTGACAAAGCAACTTTGCATTGTGAACTGCCAGGCCAGTTAAATATGTGTTGCACAGATGAAATTGTAATTCCACCACGTTCCCACTCAATGGGAGCCAACTATTGCCTTTGGTGAAGCTGAAGTCTCACTCTAAAATGGAACTGTTCTTAGCCAAAACCACAGGTGGTGATGAACATTTCCCTTGGGGAACAATCCTGTCTGTCGAATACACGACTCGTATTTGGTTCACCTACAATTTTGAACCAAGCTGTTGTAATATTAAAAATTCAGAAAGCATTCATAAAATGCCTGCAAAGTGTGTGACACAACAATATTTCATTTAAATTGCAAACATGTCTTCTTAAGCCTTATGTGAGCCTTAATATAATGTCACAGAGTGAAAAAAACTTAATGCAGTGACGTGCCTTGTAATTGCAAAAGCAGATGCAGCAGATTAGATCAAGAATGCAATGAAGTTTGGCTGTTTTGTAGAAAATACACCACTAGACAAACGACAGTTCTGGTTTGAAATATGAGAGTTTTGTCACAGTTTATAAATTATGTCACTGTCTCATTAGCAGTCCACAGAACAGGCAAGAAACACGTGTAATACTTCTTAGCAAATGATGATGAGGATTTGTCCAGACACTTAACACTGCAGCGCCGTTATCAGCATACTGAGGACTTCTGTAAGCAATGGCATCAGCTCAGACTGAAACAAGGGAAGAAGCCAGCAGCGGGTGAGCTCCAACACACAATTCACATGACATACATGAACACGGGAGCAAAACTGTGCACGGGTACCGAAGCAGACATGAACGTACAAGAATGTAGAGTGCTCGTATGAAGAAAAACAAAACTGATAAAGATCACCAGCACAGATGACAAGAAATTCATAAGTTTTTGTTTTATACCTTTCTCGTTCTGGTGAATGCAAACTAGTATCTGGTCTCAAGCAGTTGGTACTAGCACTCCTAGCCCTGTCAAGGGAGGGCTGCAGTTCACTAGTGCCAGTGCATTGCATCCAATGGGAGAAGGGAAAGAAAAAGAAAACAAAGAAAGGAATACAATGTTAGATATTAACTCATAAAATAATGCTCTCTTTAGAGAAAATGTAGAATCACAATGACTTAATTAAGGAAAACGTAAAAGAGCTGACTGGATGACAGTGCCAGGGTTTGTTTACAAAATAAAAGCAAACAAAAGACTGCTAGAAACGTTTTGCTAAGATCGTTGAAATGTTTAAAACTGAATGAGACAGAACACCCACTTGTAAGAAAGTGGAATGAGAAATACCAAATAATAAATTTTAATCCTTATTAACAGCAATAAATCTTAAGCCAACGTAAAAGGATGAGATACACTTTATATTCTGTGAAATCACTTTACAGTGAAGCTCATTTATTCTGCAAATCCATATTAGGCACCAAACAGGAGGGGGGGTTAATCCTCAGTTTCTTACCTAACAAGCAGATCATCTCCAAATTTCAGTATTCGTGAATTAAGGCCATCACGAAGGAGTGAAATATCCTGTCTAACCATGGGTTTGGTCTTAGCACATGCAGGAAGAGTTGAGCTTTGTAAATTAAAATTGTTTAAACAAAATGAAAATAAATTTGACACATAACCAAAGTCTTATACATAAACAAAAGAATGTAACAAAGGAAAACATTCAACATATAATTTTAACAGTGAAGACAACTCTCCCTAATACAAAGGGGTTGGTCTGGGTTCTTCTGTAATATAGGGGTTAATTTAAACAGTTATATGAAGTTATTTTAGGATTGTTATCTTTTTTTTTTTTTTTAATACTATTTAACAAGGCAAGACTATTTATTTTTTTTAAAAAGGAACTAACTACTAAAGGGGACTCTGAACACTTCTTACCTGTACAGGTTCCAATGAATACCGTTTTCTAGTAAAGGCATCTTGGGTGGTAATGTTTTATAGTGCCTAACAGAACTCCTTGAGTGTGGTGGAACAAAAGAAAACAGAACAACACAAAAACATGCCAGAAATAAAAAGACAGGCAAAGATAAGCCAAGACTGACCAAAACGCAAAATAAACACATAATATTGTACTACATTTAATAGCTGTACGAGCAGACTTCCCACTCTATGCTTCTCTCAAGCACTGACAGCTATCTGGGGGACAAATTCTTGTATTTACACTTTTGTTAGTACAATCCATGAACTCCTGACAATACTAGTACAGCTCAGATTGTTTTCTCGTGACAAAAGTAATCTAAATTCCATTTATAGAGATTTATAATTAAAATATACAAGCTTGTAAAGGATTAGGTTGATATTAATCTTGCTATTTATTTCTCTTAGCAATGCCTTACTGAGCCCTACAGAGACTTTAACCTCTCCAGCAGTGAGAAGCTTGCTGGAACAGGGGTATGGACTAGCACAGACTTCATTATGGCTCTATTGCACCTGGCAATTTTGGACATGGAAGTTTTTTGGCAGTGGTGTATCAGCTTCAAACACTAACAGTAACTAAATGCTATTGATAATAAGCTAATTAAAAACCCTAGGAGATCTACTACGTCAGCCAGCACAGCAGCACTCTGAGATGTCCCGTGACATCTGTCAGATGTCACCACTTCTGGTACAGGAGATTTTAGAGCAGGAAATGTTTTGCTGTATTATCCAGCTCTACCTATTAACAGGGGAGATATGGAAAGGCAGACAGTGGCTGCTGAATGGGAATCGTGGCCAATTAATAGTTAAAATTTAAAAAAAATAAATTTTAATTTAACAGCTTCACTGATGCACAGGTTTTTTTTACAGTTATTGTATTTATTATTTTACCTTTATACAACTGTGCCTTATAACAGAAACCCTATCACAGCACTTTTGATGTTGTTGCAAATTTGATTAAGAGAATTAGAGCCATCCAAGGTGTATTAAAAAACCCACTACTCTGTTGGGGAGAGTCCTACATCAAGTCAAAGAATTAGACTACATGGTTTTAAAAGATGGTTTTAAACATAAAGCACTGACGTAAAACTCTTGGCAACACCCAGATCCTGAACAGAAACACGGTTAATGACTTGGTTGAAGTGGTTAAATGGTTAACTCCTTCAGCCTACATATTTACTGGTTCTAAATGGAAGATTTCCTACACAATCTGACGTACTTTTAACAAGGTTAACAGACATGGGAGGAAAAAAGGGGAGGGGAAGCAGAATTGGATTTGATAGATAAAGATATTTCAGTCCCATTTAGTTTCACAACATTGAGACAGGGAGCTCCAAGCTTTGGAACAAGAGATTAATGAAGACTGAAGATGAGCCCAAACTACAAAGTTTAGGCCTGGATCTAATTTATAGCACAATTTTTGGTTGCAAAAACAAGTAATATGAGACCCCCTCAAATCTGGGGTTCCCAGTGAGCCCTCATTAATCACTGTTCTTTCCTCCACAAGTGCCCAAAATCAGCATGAGATTAGGTGTCACAAAGTAAAGATTGTTGGCTTGTGCATGGCTGTAATATAAACGTAAAGATGCAAATAAAAGAAAACATAAAAACAACTAAAAAGGAATGTTTGAAATTATAACACCACTCTCATGCATTGGGAGACCAGGACTGCTGTGACTAGACAGAAAATCTACCACTAAATACAAGTGCAAAATCAGAATTGCTTCGACTGCTTTGATCCTTGCTACTGAAGTTCACAAGCAGAAATACACATCTCAATCCGAATTAAAATGAACAAAAAAAGACAACTGACACCTGGATCACGACGTACCGGGCAGTTTGTTGCTTACTGGGACTGAACACCGCTAGGGAGGGAAGTGGGGCACGGGAAGCACAGACAAGCACCCAGACATGTGGTGATTAGCGACCCCCTTAATTACCTGCTGGTGTGTAGGCACTCTGCACTCCTTCCCCGCTTTGCTCTGGGCAGCATGAGAAGCTCACTGCACAGACAGGATGGGCCGTGAGTGAAACAGGGATCGTCATGAAGCATTAGATGACATGGTTTATGCCGATGATACGCAAATGAAAACATAGAAAGAAACAAGAAGCTTCCACCCAGATCAACCGTCTGACAGTGTTCAAACCCAGACTGCACTTCTCAAAGGACATGAGCCAGAAAACGCCTGCCATGACTACATTTTCAAGAAACTCCTTTTAGCCTGGCACCTCATTTTGTGGGACTTCTCTTTTTAAAATTCAGAAGTACTGTTTCAGAGCTCTTCATGACAAAAAGAAACCATAAACCAGCTACGTTTCTCTAGTAACCTCTTTTCTCATTAACCAATTAATAAAGAAACACTTTAGGAAAAAAAAAAAGGATGATTGTTAATTGCTGTTTGGTTGGTTCTTTTCCTCAGCCACAAACATACATGAAAGCGCAGGGAGGGTTTGCTACTAATTTCCTGCAGATTGGTTTATGGGAAGAGTAAACCAGTCACCCTTTTGGGAAAATCAGAAATGTATGTTCACTGAAAATATTACGTTTGGCCAAAAAAATATTATGGCTCATAGCTCTTGACAGTATTTTTTAATGCAATCCTAAAGAAAAAAAAATTGCTAATCAACTGTTAGACTTTCTGTTTCTTATTGTTTCCAATTGAGAAAGTCATCTGCCTGCTCTATTTATCACTCGCTGTAACCAAACTCACGCTACAGCCAGCAAGATGGTAAAATTAATACATTTATGCCTATGGTAAATATGACCATGATATGAAGTATCCCTTTAATTAATCTTGCAGTTTTATGCATTTCAGCACAATCAGGAAGACCAAGCTCCAAACCTCCTAATCATTGTAAAACTGAAATTAAAGCTAAACTTCATGGAAACATGCTATTTTAAACGAAGCAGGAGATCACATGAAGTACTATGGCAACAAAGAGAGAAAAGATTACAAAATAGGTAAAGCAGCAGTTGTTCAATGCGTTTTACTCTTCATGCCATTACAAAACGTCCCGTTTAATTGATGCAGAATAGGTAATATTCATCTAAAGTTCTGAACTGAGCAACTGGAAATAAAAGCCTGTGAGTTACGTGTGAGACTTGACTTTACATCTGGAACTACGAGCCTGATTTTGATGCAACAAAACGTATCAAAGTTGAACTGAATTATTGTAGGTATTTTAGCAAAATTTCCATTCATAAGCTCAGAGGACTGACAGAATTTATATGCAGGTTTCCAAATTACAAATAAACATGCATTTTAGGAAAAAAAGTTACCATTTTCTCAAGAGTTGCAAAATCAATGCAAAGTCCACAGTAAATCATGGGGTACTCTGTTAATATTTACTCTACCTTTGCGAAGCCAGAGTACCTATTGTAATTGGCCCACAGCAAACAGTAATATAAAACTCCTCCAGAAAAGGGATATAATATAGCAAATCCACCATGAAATCTTCAAGTTAAAAATACAAAGCAAAAGAATCCATCATAGTAGAGTACTGGTAATATAAGAAGATACTCATAGTTCTACAATAAATTAAGTCTGGTTTGGAGACATTTAAAATAAAGATTATTATTCTAAAACAAGTGTTTTCTAATGGGAGTATTTTAGTGCCCACATTAACAGGTTTTATTTAGGAATAAAAGAAACACTAAAAAAAAATAAAAAGGGCCGTGCCCTTGAAAACTGGATGATGTCCCTAAATTCAGACAAAAGTGTACATACACACACGTGTGTGTAAATATGTATTTGTATACAGATAAGAAAGGTAAAGTGGATAAACCAGCTAACACTGGAAATTTACCACACCAGATGCTTTAGAAAGAGACTATAACAGCTATTTTTATAAAGATCTGATCAGAATATTCAATATTAATTTGGGACCAATAACAGAACATTAAGAAAATAATCAAAAGTAATCAGCAACTGTAATTTTTGCCATGTGACTACTGGGTAATTACTTTTCAAACCGAGTTCATGTTAGGTATCTACAGGAATGTACTTTTTAGATTAAGGTTTAAGTACAGGAACAACCCATAATACTTATACTACTATTGATACTAATACTTAATACTGAATAAAGATTTTCTTTAAATCCTTGGATGCCATAGAGAATCTTCCTCAACAAAAGCTGGTTTTGATCTTCCCTCTGATGCTGGTCTGATGCACCGAGAGACTGAAACCTGCCCGGGTTAAACAGTCTCCACAGCTGGGGAAATCCAGGGGTGAAGGAAAAAGGAGACCGCTGCAGACAAGATTATTTTTCAAGGAGATTAAGTACATGGGCCCATCTTAAAGTCCTGCCAATAAGCCACGGACATCCTTCAGCTCTGATCTTTAAACTTCTGAGCAGTGTTTTCTGAAGACTGAGGAGAAGTGCAGCCCGTGCCCCCTGCCCGGAGCAGGCCCAGCCGCCCCAGGCCGGGGCTCCTCTCCAGGGCAGCCTCCCCAGACACCTCCAGCCCGGCTCAGCGCTGAGGGCACGGCTTCAGCCCTCACTGGGAGAAACCTCCCTGCACAGCTAACTGTCTATTGCTGCCGACAAAAGCTACTCTTTAATGTCTCTTCAGATCTGCTGAATAAGAAATCTGTTCAATAAATATCTTCAGGGATCTTTTGAATATATCACTACTTACAAAAATTAATAACATGAAATATTTGCAACAAGTGGAAATCACTTGAATTAGCTCAACTATAAATCTGACTACTACATTTAAAAATTCAGTTCACCTCTGAAATGAAATTCAGTGCAACAGTACAACTTAGACAATTCTCTACATACTTCTTGTCTATAAAGTTGTGTTTGAAAACGTTCCAAATAACTCACTAACTCCTATATGGATGTTATCCCATTAAAAAAGCAAAACAGGCGAGATAATTTACAAAACTGAACTAGTTTAAATGCAAAAGCCCTCCGTTATTCATCTTCTATGTTGCTTCAAAACTGGACAAAGAGTTCCAGAGATTTTTATGGTTAATTCTTCACGCATTTCCACATCACTGTGAAATATATGTTATGTATTGAATTTACTGGATCATTTGAAAAGGTCTGTCATCCTTACTCATAAAAAAATAGCAACTTCCTAAATAAATCCAAAGATATGACTTGGACAGTCAGTCTTATATGAATGGTAAATGTTTGCCATTGTATTTTAGCTACATGATTTTTTTTACAAGTAAGCAAACAATCCACAAAATTTGATAATCTACATGACTGTCATCATTATGTTTCCCAAATACCAAACTGAAATACCTTTTCAAACTTTTTTCAGCTATGAACAGAACAGAAATTCTCGTTTTCTTCCATTTTTATTGGAATATATTCCTAGACACCTGAAGAGCCTAAGAGGGGAGACCAGGTGTTCTCTGAGGAGTGCGGCCGCTGCATGTGTGCCAGGGAGAGATGTGTACATCTCACACATCTAAGATTGGAGATTTTTGCTAATTACAAGCACCTTGCTATCCTTGCTATGCTTGAGTATCGTACCAAGTTCACCAGAATGTGACAAAAAATGCTGCAAGAGTGCATCTATAGATGTTCAAAATCTCTAAGCAGAGGAATGCAAATCATAGCCCAGGGAACTCCCAGCTGGCAGGAAGGCCTGCCGGGCGCTGTGCTGGCTACACAAGCAGACACCTTCCAAGTTACAAGAATACCCAGGGCATACGTGTAGATCCATGGTTTTCTAGCAAAAACCTCTGGGCTTCATTCATGAAACAAACAGCAGAATATTCTAGGAATTAGTCTAGATACCTGCTATGACTGTTAACCCAGTACACAGCTTTACCTAGATAAATGATCTGGATAATTTAACCCTGACACCAGATTTGTCAGCGAGGGTGATTTCTCTCCCTTCCCCATTACTGTCAGTCCTGTTTCTACTGAGCACTTGAAAATTAGGCAAACTGTCAGAGACATTTCTAAACGTTTTTCCAAGTTCAGGGTGACGATGTACCTTTCTTGATCAGACAAATACTGACTATCCATGTCTCTGGATCTGTAATCAACTGCAGTTCTGGAGGCATCATGGTGTCTAGTTGGAGAACGTGATCTTCTCATTTGATGAATTTCATCTAAACTCCTGAAAAGCAGAAATACATATGATAATCTTGTTTTCTCATAAATAGCACATCTTAATGTGATTACAGTACAAGTTGGCTGAAGAATGTTTTTACTCATTAAATTGCTAATATATGACTTCTTAAAAAACATCAGATCCTAAGACTAAAGAAAAATTCAAGAACAAAGCTTCCTAGAAACTGGAGGAAAGGAAAACAGGTAAAAACTGACTGATTTTTAGGGTTCCATAAGAGGTTGCAAGAGAAGCTTATTGCCCTGCACAATAAACCAAGCAAAATCAATTGGGTCAAATTTTGTGCTTAAACAGTTTGTACAGCACTATTCAAAAAAAGCATCAAGCACGCAAATGAAAAGCTCAAAAAGGATTTCCCAATTAATAGGTTGTCCATTAAAAGCAGTAAATGCTAAAATAATAATAAAATAGAGGTTTATAAATCACTATCTGGTTCTGTAAAGTATTTTCCACTTCTGTAAAAAAGTCACATTCTAAATACAGTTGCTTATTTCAGCTTGCTGTTACTCCAAAATTGTTCAATTCATAGTTATTCTACAATTTGTACATGCCACTGTTTATTATCCCACAAATATACTCAAGTGGCTTCAGACAAGATTCAGCCACTGCCTAAAAAACATTTCCAAACCTACGTATTTGTTATGGTGCACAGATTATGAATCGCAAAGAAAATATTGGGAAGAATAGGTAAATCTTACAAAGTTATGATTCATCCCATGAGTGTTCTCGAATGATTAATAAAAACATACATCAAGTTAAAATACTACACTATTAAATTCAGATACAAAAAAAAGGTTTAAAATTGTGAAAAATTGCTGAACCAGGGAAAAGTTAATAATGAGAGACTGCATAAACTGGACACCAGCTGGTGTCTCACTGACACCCACCTCTGTAATGGCACATTTGGTAAACGTGAACGGGTCCTGCCCTGATCGTCGCCGCGGTGAGGAGATACTGAGCGTGAGCGATGATGTGTTGTTCTTTGCTGTTCTGGCACAGTTAGCGTTGTGGATTTACTTTCTCTAGTACTAGATCTATAACCTACTGGCAAGAGGGCAACAAAAGGAAATTAGAGAATACAAGTTTGGATTTGGGAAGAACTCAGACGGTTAGTCCTTCAGGAACACACATCCTAAACGTTTACACAACTTTCCAGTCATCACTCAGCTGTTGTACATCCTGAGGTACCATGCAGCCCGGATCAATCACTGCCATTACCTGTACATGGCTACATGTGCAAAGGCAGAGAAACTGAGAGGATTTTCATTAGGTGCTGGAAGATGCGAAGGAGAGGACAAAGTTTTGGGGAAGAGTACCAGGAGTATCTTGCATGTCAAAATTGTCACACAATAGAAAATATTTGAACGGAATCCAAGCAATGCAGATCTCCCTCATCTGCCAAATGGAGAACACAGCACAGACCACCCAGGACTGCTCAGACATAAAGCATCCTGCTGACTCTTGCTTCAGTTACGTACAAAGATGTTCTCCTACTAAACTTGGCCAAAGCTACTTACTTTCAAAAATTACAAGCACTAAGAGTATTTTGTATAGAATACTGGGTGTTGCATACTCTGCAGACCAATTTTTTCCAAACACTATGAATGACCCGCAAAGTTACTTCCAGTTCATTTTTATATGGGATTTTAAAAAATCAGCAGAATTTCAGTAGATTTTAAAGCATTGATATTCCTGTGCCTTTTTGCATGTAGCACACCGTTTGCCTTGTTAAACACTTTGAATCCCATCCTAAAACAGACAATGCAGGAAAATAAGATGAACGGATTCCAAAACATGCCTGTTACCTTTCCAAAATGGCCTACGGAGATTTGCTCACTTCATTCGCTCACTTCTAGACTTTTAAATTAGCTTAGATTTAAATTAGAATCCCTGGACAGAAAATCCCTTCATGACAGAAAGGGTCATTGCTTAAGTCATCCCTTAACGACTTCGCAAATTATTGTTTAGATTCCCAAATAATAATTTTGCTGCTCCTCTGAATTTGTCTAGCATGAAATTCTTGAAATGTGTTATTTTGTTTGTCAGCTAAAATACCAGCTTGTATCAGAAATCTTCTTTCCAGGCAGGAAAAGACTATGATTTAGTCACTCAATCACCAGCTGGATAAATTAAGTTGCACTTTTTAAGACTCTTGTTATAGAGCTTCAAGTTTGGGGTTTACTCGTGTTTTCTATAATTTGTGTAATTCTTGTAGTTCATCTCTGATCTTCTCCCAAATTGTTAAAACACTCCTAAAAGTGTGCCCCGTGCACAGAGCCTGTGCTAGGACTGGTGATGTGTTCAGTGACGCCTAATGACTGGGGAAGCTGCAAATCTGAACCCTGATCACAAACTTCAAGGAATCTTTCATGCCTTTTCCCCAAATTGTGCATGACCACTCTGACAGACACGTAACCTCTCTGAAAGCATTATCTCATTATTAGACCTGGAGGAAAACACTTTGTTAAAACAGTGAGTTTTAACTCAATAAGTCTTGTTGTCTTTAATATAATCACCGCTACAATAACGACAGGGAAGGGAGACAGGAAGGAGATAATGCTGATAAAAAAATGATTAGAGGGTCTTACTACAGACTTTCTGATTACTGACAGCTAGGAAATATATACAAAAAGACCTCTGCAAGTCCTGCTGTCATTTTGTCCAACTTTTGTGTCTTCTACTCTGTAGTATAGCCACTCGTGTGAGAATGAGGGAGATAGTTTTTTTCTTCATTTCTTGAAGCAGAGAGGTGGGATGAGGTTAATAAACCAGGAAACAAGAAGCACTATGAGTGCTGGTAGATCTTAGTGGGTAGGACTGCACCAAAAGAAAAGCACTCGTCACAGGAACACACTGTGGAGCTCAGAAACACACACAGGGACTGTAACGTTGAGCGTATGAGTGTGCTGTTCCCAAACCACACTGAGCTACATACGCCAAACTGAAATAATAAACAGAGTTCCATATTTAAAATGTGACATTACTCAAGTTTGGAGGAGGGGAGGCTACTGTTAGAAAATTAGAGAAAACATGAGCAAAAAAACTTTTGAGAGAGCTCACCTGCAGCTACAAACCAGAGCTCACCTGCAGATGCTCGTCACCCGCAGAGAACCCCACGGCAGCGCTGCCGGAGCAGGGGCTGTCCCCGGGCCGGCAGGGGCTGGCACCCCCACCCCAGCATCTGCCAGGGCTCATCGACCCTTCAGCAACGGGGACCCCAAGCTTTGGCACGTCTGGCTGTGCCGCGGGCTGGAGTACCTTCTCTGCTGAAAAAAGGTTTCAGAGCTGTGCAGTGGAATTAGAAAGGAACATGAGGATCTCCTGGATCTCAGGACAAGGACTGGGTGAAAACTGTGAAGTGAAAAAGGGACTCCCTCAGGACTTCAGCAGAGATTCCCTCATCTCTTATACGAAGGTTGCTGCAGAAAATGGCTGGGTATTTGTCAGAGGAAGAAAAAAGACTAACCATGACAAAAGCTGGATGTGTTTCCTTTAACCCTTTATTCTTTAGATAACTAAATCTAAGCCGTATGTGCTAAAAAATATTTCATGTTCTAAACAAATGAAAGATTTTTTTTAGATAAAATCCTGTCATCTCTATCAGAAGGAACACTAGCTTACATTTATTCAACACTAAAATCAAAGAAATCCAAAACTTCTTTCCAACCATTAGGAAACTGTACTGAAATAAATATAATTTAAATATTAAAAAAAATTAAATATAAATTTCGGTTTAAAATCTATTTCTAAAGTATCTCTAGTCGGCCTAAAAAAAATACACCTAGGATTATCCTGGACATTTAAAGGTCTTGTATAGAAAGATGATTTTCTCCTACATATTCTTATAGCTAAGCTATCCAGGGAACAATCTCTGAAGCCTGTGCATTGTGCGCACACAGAGCTCACAGAACAGGCAACAGCAATTCACGTTTATCCCAAATACTAGCTCCAGGGCTGTCAAGTTGGTGCAACGGCATCAGGCTGCCAGTGAGGGTGACAGCGACAGTGAGTTTCCTCACAGCCTGGAGCACGGGGACCGGTGACTCCGGAGGAGCAGAGGGGTGTTGGCAGGGACCAGCAGGGCAGCAGCATCAGGCTCATGGCGCTTTATGCAGAAGAAGTTTCTCAGTTGCTCATGGGAAACTGTCAGGTGTGAGGTGAAACAGAAGCTGGATGGATGATGAAAATGGTTCCAGCAAGTGTTTGGTATCAGAGCCTTTTTCCCTTTAAGCCAGTGCAGACAGTGACAAGGTGCTGTGTTGACGTCCCCCTGCTGCTACAGGAGGAAGGTAAGAACAACACAGCCATTTGCACAGATCACATAGGGTAGAAAACAAATGGTTCTGAAGAGTTACCCAAAGCAGAAGCAACACGGCTCATTAAAAACATCCTTTGGGATGCTGTCAACTGCATAGCAGCTTTTTTTTTTTCTTTTTAATTAAGAAAGTTACTGAAGTTTGGGTTAAAAAAATAGGCCTCAAAACACATTTTGATTTTATTAAATCTTTTACTGGTCCCTTACTGACCCTTCCATCATACATAGCATCGGTGAGGCCACATCTGGAGCACTGGGCTCCAGATGAAAGACAAACATGGAGTCACCGGTGTGAGCTGAGCTCAGGATCACAAAGGTAATCAAGAGCCGGAGCATCTCTCATACAAGGAGAGGCTGACATTGGATAATTCTTGTACTTCATCTCCAATCTTCTCCCAAACTGTTAAAACCCGTGTGTGGCCCATCTACAGAGCCTGTATTAGAGCGGGTCGTGTGTTCAGTGACACTCAATAACTGGTGTCACTGCAGGGAGCAGCTCGTGAAGAACTGCAGCCCATGGGAAGGACTCGCGCTGGAGAAGTTCATGGAGGATGGTCTCCTGTGTGAGGGACCCCACACTGAAGCCGGGGAGGAGTGTGAGGAATCCTCCCCTGAGGAGGAAGGAGCAACAGAGACACCTTGTGATGGACTGACCACAGCCCCCATCCCTGTTCCCCTGCGCCCATGGGCAAGAGGAGGGAGAGAAAATCGGGAGTGAAGTTGAGCCCAGGAACAAGGGGTTGGGGGGAAGGTGATTTAATATTTTTTATTTCTCATTACCCTACTCTGATTTGATTGGTAATAAATTAAAGTAATTTTTTCCCCAGTCTAGTCTGCTTTGCCCACGACAACAACTGCTGAGTGATCTCTCCCTGTCCCCATCTCGACCCAGGAGCCTTTCGTAATATTTTCTCTCCCCCATCCTATTGAGGAGGGGGACGTTACACTGAACTGGAACCTGAAATGTAAGTCAGTCTACACAGATTTGCTGGTACCTACGCTGACAACTAAAAAAAAATGAAATCATAAACAGGAAAAAATATTTAGAACCTATGATTTAATTTTAAATGTTCACTCTCCTCGCTGATGTAAAAATGTCAAGATTAATACCTTCATTAAAGCAAATATCATTACTAGACACACCTGAACACATTTCGCTCTCTAGTAACTCAGGTGATAAGTGTATTAAAGTAAGAAAAGAACCCAATCAACATCAAAGGAAGAAGAACTTGACTCAGTAAACATCAAAGTGATACTGCACTGATAAAATATGTGATTTATTTCTATGGTTATATAAGGAGTAAATAAATTGTTAGATTATTTTAAACACATATCAGGAAGATAGAGAGCTTTCCAAGTCCCACCATGATTTAATACATTGATTTTCATCAGGAAGTTCCACAGAAAAACTGATTTCGTGCTGACAGTGCCATAGTGACTCTCTAGCCAGTTTGGGACAATTGGGAACCATATTCATCTGACTTGTAGCAACAGTCAAATAGAAGTAGAAAAATGTGGTATCCAAAATGATCCTCAAGATTTTCAGTATGTAAGGAATGCTGAACTAAAAGTCAAACCACGATAGTCTCTACAAGTATATACTTATGAACATTCAGGTAATGATAGTTCATGAAGGCTTATGAAAACTATAAAAGACACAGCCATGCTACATGCATCTTAATCTACAGCCATGCATTCGCAATAAAGTCCGCGGGAGACTGCATTAGAGCTAAGTTTCAAGCAAAAAGCAAAACAAAAAAAAAATGCTTGCAATAAACACTGAAATCCTAATTACTATTTTTAAATGATTTCTTGAATTTAATTTATATTTTATATAATGCTCAGAACATTATGCAGTAAACAATTAAACAATTTGAACCATCCAGTGGTTCATGTATGATGAATGATATGAAAAAGAAATATCAATGAATGAATAGCAGAATCTTTTAATTCACCATGACTTAGGTCAGGTACCATGGAATAATCAGAAAAACTGTTTTTTTCACAATGCATTCTCCAAAACCAGTATTCTCAATATTCTGAAATGTTATAAAGAACAAATAAATAAACAAGCAAAAAAGAAGAAGAAGAAGAAGAAGAAGAAGAAAGCAGGACCATGCTGTTCACCCACGCACCTGGAGGAACAACTCCAATACCATCATCAACATCATAATCTGAGATGTCACTATCACTGATTGGCCGAGATCCTGCACAACAGTAAGGTAAACAAATACCTCAACATCTGGTCGTGTTATATAATGTAAAAATATGTTCATTTAACTACTGAAATTAAAAAGCTGATTTTAAGTGTAGACAATAGAGAAGGAGAACTGAACCGCAGTGACTGACGTTTCACAAGACACATGAGCCACTTTACATCTTACAGCTGCTGCAGCCTCCTTCCCCCTTCTCCTTCCCTCGGGTCCTCAGCAATCCTCTACTGGGATAGTTTATCTCACTTAACCAGCAAAAAGTTAACTCAAAGAAAGAAAAAACTCCCCCTTTTGTGCTATTTCAGTGAGTAAGCTGAGTCAGCTTGCTGAGCGGGAAAGGAGAGGTAGCGGCATATGGCAAGAGAGGGGAAGAGGAAACAGCACTGCCAGCTTTTGGAAAACTTTAAATATCTCATGAAAACTAACCTTTAATTTCCTCACTCTATACATATCTTTATGCAGTAATTACAGCAGTATCACATTTTTATAATTCATTCCTGAATCTGCACCAATTTCCTGCGCATTGGCCAGAATGAACAATTTCCATGTGTAAGAAAAACCAGAAAAATAGCTTGGAAACATAATTTAAAATAATCTCCAATGCCCTTCTTATTTCTAAATAAATCTTAAAATATTTTAAATGAACAGAGAAGCTACAGTATTCAAATATTTCAATACATTCATTATTTTTATATGCCTCATACAAACCTGAAATCAGACTCACCAAAACAACTGCACCTCCCAAATTCACACATACAATGTCTCTCTGCTGCAAAAGCCCACCTCTCATCTGATTGTCTAATGAGCCTATTGGAGTTGAGACTAACTTCATGAGGAAAAGTGGTTTTAAGCCTCACAAGTCTTTAAAGACTTCATTTGTATAAATTAAAAGTGTTTAATTATTAAAAAAGGTATCCAATAACTACCTCTTTCTATTTAGAAGGAAACTTGTGCAAACAAATGTTCGAACAATTTTCTTTTGCTACCGAAAGCCAAATCAATTCCAACACATTTCACATACCTAAAAGTTATGTGACACAGGGGAAAGGCTGCCGTGTCATAATTTGCATTTCTTTTCTGCCACACATATTCATTACATTTAAAGACTATGAAATAGTATTTTTATCTACTATAGGAAAGTTAAATACCATTACACCATATCCAGCACTTCTAATTTAAAAGAGATGAATGGAATTCAGACCTACTTTGCAATTTTTTGCTAGTGCTTTCTCCACCATGAACATGTCTTCTTGGCATGAAAGGTGATGGCTGAGGCAGAGGTAGTGAAGATTCATCATGTGTCTGTAACTTATACCAATGTGGTTCATCATCTAAAAGCGCTGTCTCCAGCTCTATAAGAATCTAGTGTAAAAATGATGGGGTTTTAATTTGACTTTTATGGTACACACGTGCAAACGCATTTACAACATACACATGCATATGTATTCCAAGCTGAACAATGAGCTCGGGAGAAACGTGACTGTGTGTATCACCTCTCCAAGAAATTCACTCTCTTCTTCTTGTACTCTCGGCTGGTCCCAGACGGTAATTTCCAGCATTCGTTCTCTAAAATCTCTACGATGTACATGTGAGTAGAGAAAAGTTTGGTTCCATTTTGGCTCTAGACTTTTCTTTACTGTTTTGGTCCTCCTTTTACTCTTGTCACTGAAACACAAATATTTGTTGTCAATTGTTTGCTGATGCCCAAAAGAGAAATGTGCTTGCTGTACAGTGGATCACATCCATCCAAAAGTCCACAAAGTTCAGTTAATACTGACTTGCGTGATTCAAGCACAATTTTTATTTTATAATTAGTCTAAGTAGAAAAAATTATTTGAAAGAATTCTTTACTTCATAAGCATTAATTTAGAAGTCGATTCAATACATGGTAAACCACAACATAATTTTCTAAACTGAAAAACTCCTACCTTCTGTCTGGAAGAAAATACATTTTTACATAGGGATTCCTGGGGCGTCCATCTACTCTTGGTGGCAAATCTGTTGCTTGCAGAACATTTACAATTAACTGATGTCCCACTTTGTCATACCACAGTTTAACCTACAGGAATCAAGTTACCAGAAAACATCACTGAAAATGGAAAAAACCCAAATTTTTCAGACTGCATCACATTAACCACATGTAGGAGTAACCATTGTTTTTTCCAAGAGACAATGAGATATATTTTATTTCAAATCCCTTAGTATTTAATTAAGTTTGATGGAAAAGATGATGGTTTATACCAAAGACTTTTGTATTTACCACAGCTGAATAAAACGGTGGTGCCTGATTATACTGATATTGTTTATTGTACTCAGTGCATAATCTTGCACCTGGGGTGCATTTAAACCAGCGTGTCCCAGCTCTGCACCTGAAAGGCTGGGTTCAAACAGGAAGCCCTGGCTGCAGCTAAACTCAAGGCACAGTTGGAATCCATCTACTCAGACTTGTCACCTTGCAAGTGCTCTTATGAAAAGTGTAATATACAGCTAAATAATTTCTTAAAAGAATCACAACACCATGACATTTTTAAGCCTGCTGTATACTTAGAAAATAATATGCTGAATATAAAAAAATGCAAGAATGTACAAAACAGTGACTAAGTACTCACAGTATCTTTAACAAGCACAGCTTTGACTAGTATTACAGAACAGTTCCAAGATGCAGTGTGTGCCTACGTTAAAACGCATGGCTGAACAGTGTAACTCTTCATCCACACAGCTCTTTAAAGGCTCCCACACAGAAGCTGAAGTGGTGCTGGCTTGTACCTGTACCGAGAGTCACCGTTCTCAGTGCAGAGGGCACCGGGTGACAAGGTACAAAGCACTTCTATGGGCTTCTCTCAGTGTAAATTCCTGTGCTCATTGGTGTGCTAAAACAACAACTCTTTACCTCTGCTGTGATTAGAGTGATGGTTTGTGAGTGTGTACAAGGGTCATAAAAAACATCTGAAAGGTGGTAGTCTTTACCAACAGCAGACATTTCTCCTGGCCTCCCAGCAGACCTTGGGAATGTGGAGGGCTGAGGGACCAGCACTTGATAGATTTTCATTAACAACTCAGGAAAAACAAAATATGCTCACAGAAAGCTGCCCTGGTAGGACTTGTGGTGCATCCCGTAGGGCTCCAGGGCTGGTTGGAGATATAACAGAAATAGAAGGCCTTTCCATCTTCTGAGATTCAAAAGAACTTGAACCTAAAAATACATGAGAAGCACATGAACTTTCCATACAAAATTTTGAAGTGAATTTGGATAACTTATAGAATCAAAGAATCATCTTGGTTGGAAGAGACCCTTAAGATCATCAAGTCCAACCGTTAACCCAACACTGACAAACCCAACACTGACCCATGTCTCTCAGCACCACGTCTGCCCAGCTTTTAAATCCCTCCAGGGATGGTGACTCCAGCACTGCCCTGGACAGCCTCTTCCAAGGCCTGACAACCCTTTCGGTGAAGAAATTTTTCCTAATATCCATCCTAAACCTCCCCTGGGGCAACTTGAGGCTGTTTCCTCTTGTCCCATCCCCTGTTCCTTGGGAGAAGAGACCGACCCCCCCTGGCTACACCCTCCTTTCAGGGAGTTGTAGGGAACGAGGAGGTCTCCCCTCAGCCTCCTTTTCTCCAGGCTGAACACCCCCAGCTCCCTCAGCCTCTCCTCATAAGACTTGTGCTCCAGACCCCTCACCAGCTCCGTTGCCCTTCTCTGGACCCGCTCCAGCCCCTCAGTGTCCCTCCTGTCCTGAGGGGCCCAAAACTGGACCCTTGAGGTGGTGCCTCCCCCAGTGCTTATCTTTCAGAGCTGAAGCCATTGTGCTGGTTACAAGACCATGGGTGGTGAGAGGAACGAGGTGTGTACTCACTAGACTCTAACGGGGGGTGAGAAGTCTCGGGAATCCGTGGAATATCACTGAAATGTGAATATACACATAGTAATTAGAAACAATGGAGATGACAATCTGCTGTAACAAATACATTTCTGGGACACTTTTTTAGAAATATGGATCAGTTTCTGTTCTCATGAGTTACAGGGAAAGAAAGGGGAAATATTTAAAGACATATTTTCCACAATGTAACATTCATGAAAATCTTACGAATGCAAACTACTTCTTCCAAGTCAAGAAACTAGCAGACGTGACAATATGAGCACTAAAATGTAATACCGTGGATGGATTCTACAATATTATTACAACCAGAACAATAAAGTCAGAGATATTTTAGGAAGAGAAAGGTGGTAAAGGTAGTATAGTTATGGATGTTCAACTATTTTTTGGAGGAAAAAAAAAAAAGACATAGATTATTAACTCACTAGTAAGTTTTATATAAACGTCTCAAGGAGTTCACAGAACGAAACTGATGAAAATGTCTTATAATAATAGAAAAAGAAAAAGCAAATAACATTAACAATGTTAAACAAACAAAATAATAATGCATTTCTTCAAAGGTTAAAAAAAAATAATCAAAGCGTATTATGATTGGGTATGGACATTTTTCAACATAGATATACTCAGCACATATACAGGGATAAGCAAAATCAAACTGGTTAAGTCCACACACATCTATTAAAATTTTGCAATCAACAAATCTAATCTTCCACCAAAATCTGGATGACGGTAGTAGCTCCTGGCTCTCTTCTGTTCTCAGCAACCATAGAAAATACATTGTGAGAGCAAGAAACAACTGTTATTGCACAAAGGTCAGCAAAGCAGCAGAGCAGGAAAATGGAAAAAAAGCTGTCAATGAATTACTTGAAAATATTTTCATCCACAAAATAATCCAAATTGGATCAACACTAAATTTCTGAAGAACATTTACAAGATTTTAAGTCTAAAGCTGAGCATTTTAAAGGTATTCTCTCTGTTCAGTGAAACACTGTCTTACTGACTTGTATATCAAAAAGATTAAGATTCCTGGGTATGTAAACGTCACTTGATCTAAACTTTTATATAAAGTCACAATCTCTAAAACTTTATAGTTCATTGGAAAGTTTATATATATATACACACACATATATATATAAAGTGTGTGTGAGTACAGATATATATATATATATATAAAATTACTGCTAGGAAACCTTCTCTTCCCCAATATATTTATCTTTTTTAAGTACAGCTCCACACAGAACTGCAAGACACAAAAAGCAAAGAAACCAATAAATTAAGTATGCAACACAGTACTGCTCACCAAACTCACCAAACTCATGGCAGAGTATCCTAAGAAACGCTGTAACAGTTCTGTTTTCTGCTATTGATTTTAAATTGCACATGAAATAATTCAAAGCTATGTTTCTGTCTGTATTTAAACTTCTTACAAATTCAATAATCTACTTTATATTATACCATTCTTAAATATTATATGCCCACAAGAAAATAACTGGTATTACATATCTGGTGACTTTATCAAATATTTGAGTGGTATTTTTTTTTAAATATTGGCATTTTAATTAAAGAATGAAAATTCTAAAAAACACCTATCATCTGAAGCTTGTCAGCTAAGAAAATGAGTCTTATCTAGCCTGTCCTTACACATTTTAGGATCTACTATGATGTACAAAAAAATCGCTTTAAAAGAAATAGTAGAAAACTCATGACTTATAATAGTCAAAACTAGACTAGTCAATGCAAACGGTAAAAACAAAGCAAGAAGTAGCACAACCACTTATTGAAAACAAGAATAAAATTTTTCTCTATTTTCAGAGCAATGTGAACCTCAGAAAAGTAACATCAGACACATTCCCTGAAGAGCTGCTGACATGGAACCATGTCTTTCTCTCTCTGCCCTGAAAGGCAAAGGTCTTGAGTGATCTTACACCACATTATATACGATGTTCTTATGTCTGATCCTTCCACACCTCAAGACATACACCAATTAAACTGAACTACCTCAGGCTGAGACCGCTCTGTTCAGATATATGGTTTGTGAGGATCACTACTTTGTAAAATGCAGGAAGAGCAATAATTTCCACTGGGGGCTACAGTCCAGGGCTTGATCCCTGAGAACAAACCACATGGAACTGTAGCTGTAACCCACACTTCCTTCAGCTGCTCTGGGGCCAGCAGCATTGTCCTCTGCACCCTACAGAGCTGTTGGAATTCATGCCTGCCTGTCCCCAGTGCTCATACTCCTACATCCAACACCACTCCTGCCCATCAGAGCCTGCAGATCAATCTGCAGTTGGCATTAATTACACTACCTGAACAACTCTCTGCAATTCAGCACTGCCTGCTTTATGACAGAGGTTCACCCTCCTTGCGAAGACCTGCACAGAGAAGCTGAATCACACCAGAGAAAGAATAATTTTTGGCAATATCATCTGTAGGAATCCAAGCAAAGACAGCTAGCCTCTCACAGAGAAAACAGAGACAAATGAAGAAACACCTTTTTACCTGCACTATCCCACAGAGCTCAGCCAAGTGAGGTAGGTACCATGGCAGGTTCCTTCTTCAAACAGCACACTGCCACGGGATTTCTGTGCTCTCCTGTGTTAAACGTCTCTCTCGTCGTGTGCGTATTCATAGGTAATTCATCCCCTCATCTTTAGATAGCCAACCCATTAATTCTACTTTTTATAGGTTTTCTCATCTACCTTGTGTTGCAATCATTAGCGTTAGCATCAATTAGTTTCTATGGAGTTTTTAGGGTACTATTGTGGTTATACTGTTTATTGTTGTTATGTCTCCATCTGCTAATAGTATTACATGTTTCACATTTTTCTCTAATAAACATCCTACAATTATCCATTACTCAAAATTACATTTGCTGGTAAGATGCAGAAATCCAAATTTACAAGACTGAGCAAATTGTTTAGACACCAATTTTGTAACTGGCAGCCGTCTCGTCTATGGGCTCACAGTTGTCCCAGCACTCACTTAAGCCAAACTGTGTCAATTTTGGGCTTTTTAGACCTAATATGCTAGGACTTTTTAAATAAGTGCTGGTACATTATTTGCATTATTAATACTGAGAGATGAAAACGCTTAAATTATGCAAACAAACTATCATTTTTCAGGTCTTTCGGGAACTCATTTCCTCACGGGAACTTTGGGTGTAATGGATCACCACTTAATGCTGCATCAGGTGGCTTCGACTTTGCTGAGTCAGCACCTAAAGCAGATATAAAACTTGGATATATACTAAATTTTTTGGATTAAATAAAATTCCCTGTCATGAATTCAAAACAACCGCACAGTTTGGATAACAAGACAAGGAGAAGCTGGGGCAGGATAAATTGTTAATGCAAGCAAACTGTTTCCCATTGTCTAACACAATTTAAATAGATTATTACTTATTTTTTTAAAAAAGAAGGAAAAATAAAATTCTGTGCAGTAAGTTCTTTTTTGTTAACTAATATGAGGATTGGTTTCATTGCACAATTTGTAATATCTCCTGTTCTTTTAAGATGACAGACAGGTAAATCCCAATCTGATACAAAACAACAGGTTTTTGGCTCATTATTACTGAAGAAAGGAAATATCTTTCAGTTTCAAAGTTACATGCTCTACATGCTTTGGAATATCCATCCATTTCTCTCAAAAAACCCAAAGCAAAAATCTCAAACAACAACAACAAAATCGATTAATCAAGACACAACTCTACAAGAATAGTGTTGTTACAGTATGCAAAAATCTCCATGCCAAGACTCCGTTTATTTCAAAATAAAAGTGCTCTAATTTTGCTATGTCTGGAAAAAATATGCATAGGTCATCCAAAGCAAAACCTTACATTTTATTGGTACTATTTCTGGGTGCACTTTTTAGTGCAAAATTCACTGCTCAGATTCAGAAATATTCTTTGATTTCAAATGCACTTCACGTTCTGTGTCCCAGTTCAACAATTGTATTTTCTCTCAAGTTTTCTTCAAGAATGTGTCCCTGGAATGTGGTCACTTTGTACTTCAGTTTTTGGAGCTATTAGATCTATCAAATTAATAAACTAAAATAATTCAACTGGGCTAATAATGAAGTTGTCTTAAAAGTTTAAGGATACATGATATTTGCAGATATACTGACAGCAATAAATGTATGGAACTTTCATTTTCTATCAGTTGCACAAACCAATTTTCAGGTTTTCTTCAACTGAGACATGGTGTTCAATTCAGAACCAGTATCAACATATTCATTTTATGCTGATTTAAATATAAAAACTAGATTTCTAAAAGTCCCCCTTATGGTTTTCTTTTGTTTGTTTGGGTTTTTTGAGTTATAAAGACGTAGGATTGAATTTTCAGTCAGGAACGTCTCCTAATTTATCCGACTGAAGAACGTAAAATAAGGTTTCTTCTCCCCCCCCAGTCTCCAGCTGGATGGTAATTTTACCCTTTAAGAACCACTATTATTGCATCAAGTTTCGTTTTCCATTAGAGGGTCAAACTCATAACTGGAATTAGCAACAAATATTAATTTTAGTACTTTTCATAGTGATTGCTATCAAGGAGGCAGAACTCCTTTGCAAATACAGCTACACTTGCACAGTATGGATAAAACCAAGCATCGAAAATTGGCAGGAAATAAATGTAACAGAGTGGTTTAGTCAGAAAATTAATAATATTTTTTGTTCCTAAAACTGAGAACTTATCCTACTGGAGATAAATATTACAGTTAGTAGTCAATCTAGCAAATTCAAAATTAAATAACCATGCATTCATAAGGAGGAAACAGTTTCCCATTGACCTACGGGACAGTGGGATTTAGAGACCTGTAGTGAGTGCACATGAACTCTGGCAATGTGACAAACTGCAGAGAAATTTAAATCCTTTCACCTGTTGGGTGGCTTTTTTGTGGTTTTTGGTTTGTTTTGTTTTTTTTTTTTAAAACTAGCCAAGAGTCACTTCTAATTGTTAATCATGTGACTGTTCTGCAATATAAATGTGAATTTACAATATATGATTCATATTTAATCCTGTAATACTTAGCTCAAAACAGTCCCAATAAAGTCATGTTCGGGGAAGGAGTGTTGAATATCGCTAAAACAATTGTGACAAATGCAGGGCCAACCTCACTAATCTTAGCAATTCAAATAGATTTTATAATCTTTCTAAGGCTTATTTGGGAAATTAAGAATATAGGAATTTTTACCGGAAAACCCCAAACCTGGATTTATAAGAAATAAAAAATAAGATTATAAACATAACACATTAATGCTCATTTTTGATGAAACAAATTGCCTTCACAAATACGAAGGTATTTTTGTTTCCACTTTTGATTTTGATGACAGTATCATTTAAAGCCAAATACAGTCTTTTCAGTTAAGAATTTTTGTTTTCCTTTTTGTCAGCTCTTTAAAGAAGGCCTGTTTAAAATCCTACTGGCACTGATTTGCTCAAATCCTGCAATGCTCAATGTTTGCTGATCCTTCCTTCTACTCTTGAATACTCATATACGTTGTTCTGATTTAATGAAGCTAAAAGCCTGAAAACCAGCTTTTTCTCACGCACAGGTCCACTTATCTGACAATTTTCCTTTGCTTCTCACAAAAACCTCATTAGTACTTTGAGCCTACAGAGACCAATGTTTATACTTGTATACATCTCTGCAAAGACCCACGATTGTAAATGGCAGTGAAGAAAACAGCATACACGGAATGTCAATAATAGAAAATGAATCATATTCCATTATTAAGAGATGCAAAATAATGAACTCACAAATAGTCCCTTTAAAAGTCCCATTAGTAGAAGTAATGTGTGCTTAAGAAACAAGTCTGTAGCCTTACCCAATAGGTCTTGAAACAATAATTTCAACTTGAGGTTCTGATTTTGATTCTAAAATAATGTTGTAAACTTCTTCATTTGTAGCTCCAGGCAAGGGTTTACCATTCCATTCTAGAACTTCATCCCCTTGAATTTAAAGAGAAGTTTATCTCATTTTGGTATTTGTTTACAAAGAAGTGCAAAACATATATATATACACACACACACATATATATATATAAAACCAAGTAACATTGCCCCAAATCAATTAAAAAGCAGTGCTGAAATCCAATAACAGTTTTTGAGACACTAACAAGCCTCCTTTCTCTGAACACAGTTACAAGTTGTACACACAGAACATAGTAAAGAAACCACTTGTGCAAACATATTATTTCCAAAATAATACAGCATCTGTGAAATGAAAGAGTCTTTTTAAAAGAACCTTTATTATCCTGCAGTAACAAACTCTGAAAATAACTTAGTCTTCAAAAATAAAACATATAAATACCTACTGTTAAGCCTTTAAAACTCATGACATTTTATTACAATTTATATACTGCGCATTTTGTTTTCTCTACAGAAAGGACAGTCTTCACTGTCTGTGTCACATGAACCAAAAATAAAAGCACAGAGTGAGTCACTGTCTCCTGAGTATGTTGGGGGGGACAGAAAGGAAAGCATGATGTGAAAGTTATTTAGATAACTTTCTTTTTTCAGTTTGCCATTTCTGGAATTTGAATGGTATGTACATTACACTGTATTTTGACCTCACTATAAAAAGGTGAAAATCTTGAAGGGCAGTTTCTGAAGAAAGCTCAGTACATACAATTAACCTGCAGGAACCACGGGGTAAGTTCACGCTCTGGTACCTCACTATGTGCAGAGTCAGCACTTCACAACCACTACCTGATGCCCAAGTCACTTTCTGCATTGACAATGATTCCATGTTTAACAGGTTCAGCCAAGAACAGTCCCTCAGAAGCTGACATCACTCCTTTCGGAGAAGATCTAAGGCAAATGATGGAACTTGCCCCCATTAACAATCCAAGGAAAGCTGTCCCACCTGCCCTGCTACCTTCCAAAACAAATCACTTCCATTTCTCCTTATTTCCAGCACTGACAATCCTTTTTCCCAAACACCCAAATACCAAATATTTTGGTATTTTAAGAAAGGACTCCACAGAGTATTCCACTGGCTTTCAAAGCATTTTGGCATTCTTTAAAGCATAAGGGCTTGCTAATGACAGACTTAATAAACGCTTGCCGACATAAGTTTAATTTTCTACCATGTCCTTTAGCTGGAACAGTTTAAAATATTTCTTATATTTATTACATCATGTTATGTGGGATGGGGAACAGGAATTAAATATTGCCTCAGAACCTCATTTAAAATTTAGACAGCTCAGTGAAAACACACTCAATTTCGTCTGTAATTCTGACTGCATTTAAAGCTAACAACTGTGATAAACTAATGTGTTGTTTTTACGTAAAATAAATCTGATTTCTTTGCAGAAAATTGGCTTAATTTAAAAAAGCATCCCAGGCATTAAAAGGAACAAGATGTGGCCAACTTTGCAACAGCTATAACTTAATAGCAAAAACCAACAGGGACATACACTAAATTTGTAACACTAAAAATCACGATTTAAACCTAAATTGCACAGCAATGAATCTATCACATTTTGAAAAAGACAAAATAGGTGCAACATGGTTGAGAATCCCAAAGAAGAACGTGTAAAGTGTCTGTATTGCTACTTTAAAGGACTTAAGCAGCTTTTTGAGAGTCACCAGGAGATCAAACTAAAAAAAATAATTTCCAAGATGATTAAACATAAGATCATTGTAGTCAGAATGCTAAATTAAGAGAAGCAGCTCCAATTATTCTTACTGAAAGCTAGATCCAAGTGCAGATTGCGGTGAAAAGGCACTTCTGCTAGTTCTGACCAGAACTCCACCATCCAGCTTCTGCTCACCTTGTCCAGTTCTGGACCTTTCTGACCAGCCAAGCCCTTTTACATTGTCTCTCTCCTCTCTGATGCTGTCCCTAAGGCTTACATTCCAATTCCTGATCTTGGTAAGAGGCAGGGAAATAGAGAAACACTATCCAGATAATCAGAAGTTGGACATATGCAAATCCCAACTGGACATGGCCCTGTGTCCCCTGCTCTAGCTGACCCTGCTCAAGCAGCAGGCTTGGACTAGAGACCTCAAGAGGTCCCTGCCTACCTCAATCCCTCTATGATCCTGTGATGAGGAGAGGAACTCCCTGGTCTGCAGTGACCCAGAGCTGCAAGTCAGTCAGTCACTTTACACTGTTAGACACTTTACACTGTAGATACTTAGGATGACCAAGATATCTGCATGGACCTGGCTGGCAGAACTTACAGGACACCTCTTGGGGATCAGCCAGCTCCAACACCTGCTCAAAGTAGGGCCAACATCAAAAGACAGACCAAGTTGCTCAGGAATTTGACCAGCAGAGACTTGGGTACCTCAGAGGAAGGATATGCAACACCTCCTCGGGGCAACCTGTTCCAAGCCTTAGCTATCCTCTCTAGATACAAGAAATTTCACAAACAAGATCTCCCTCTCTCCAGCTTGTGCACTTAGCCAGGGGAAAACAGGAATTAGACCCTCCCATACCCTTTTCTTTGCCAGTCTGAACAAACCAAGTTCTCTCAGCTTCTTCTGGGCCATATGCTGCAGAACCCTACCCAGCCTTCCATCCAACCTGGTCCAGTTCATCCACATCTCTCTTGGACCAGCAGAACCCAAGCTGGGCACAGTACTCCAGATCCAGCCTCAGCAGCGCTGAACAGAGGGCAACAACTACCTCTTTCAGCCTGCTGGTGACAGCCCTGCTCATCCAGCCCTGGCCGTGGCTGGCCTTGGCCACAAAGGTGCTTTGCTGGCTCCCATTCTGCTCACTGTCCTCTCCTGGCACCCTCCTGCCCAGCTGCTTCCAGCCCGACTGGCTCCTGGTGCTCCCTGCTGCACTGCCTATTCTGTTCCTGACGCAAGGCTTCGTATTTGCCTTTGTTAAAATCTATGTGGTTTGTAAAATTTCTCAATGATTCATAAATACAGACAAATTTTGGATGTTTTTCATAAAGATGAAAAAGCTGTTGTCCTAAGAGCATGGACTCATCTATGCCTTTTGTGTTTAGTGGATGAATAAACTTTCATGCTTTGAAAACATGCACAAAACAATGTATTTTTTTTCTGTGAAATTATTTTGGCTCTAAAAATATTTTTGGAAATTAAAAATAGCTTTAACTTAAAAAACAACCAAGACCATACATTAGAAATGTAATATTTCAGCCCAAATAGTTCAAAATTAGTGGTGAGAAATTTATTTTCAGTAATTATAACCTGCAGTTAAAATCTACAAACAACTATAATAACTGGTGCTATCAACCCCAAGTATATTGACTTGGTAAAATAAAAAATTAACAAATGCCAAAAAAGTAGGCTATTTTGAGAGACTCATCATCTTTTCTACTTGTTTATTACTACTTGCTTCATGCAATTTTCCTAAATTCATACAAGCTGTCATCGGTTCCTAAGAAGGCATTGCATAGGCTTTGGTTTGCTGAGACAATGCTTGGAAGGCAGTTGCTTAGAGCCATGGTAAAAATATAAACCTCTAAGAAGTAATTAGTAATTTTGAAAACCAACTGCTGTGCACAATTCTCACTTCATTTAGAAGCTTGAAAAGTGCCAACAGCACAGCAACTTATTTATAAGTGCAGTGTATAAATCTTACATAAACGAAATATTTTAAGATCATTTTCTTGGGTTGTTTTCCATTTTTACTTGTAATAATTTGCATTGGAAGAAGTCCTTTGTGTACACAGTGCACCACCCTTCAGGTGATACTGCAGTGCAAGCAAAGCAACCGTGGTGAGTTTTGTTTGCCACAATGAAAGAGTTTTTAAAAACGTTTGTGTGGCTTCTGTAGAGTTTAACAGGCAGGTCCTAAGCAATCGAGAAAGATTTACCAGCAACACTCAGTCCTGGCACCAGCACTGATCAGGAGTGCCTTGTATTTCACTCATACATCAAAGCAATTGGAGTTCATAATAAATTAGAAAGGTAGGCAGCTGTGGAATTCCATCACAACAATGTTGTGTATTGTCCTGTATTTAAAAAATACTAGCATATCACATGACCAATGCTAATATAAACGAACAGCTGCATGACAAAAAGCCACATTTAGGAGACAATATATTTTGTATGCAACTGACTGATTTACCTGCTCTGAGATGCCCCACCACATCAGCCAAGCTGCCTTTCTTCACTTTGGTAATGAAGGCACCGAGTCGTCCTAATTCTGTCATTTTTCCTCCAACAACCTGGTTAATCATAAATTTGTGAGTTCCCAAGCCACAACGCAGACATCATCTCAAGCATAAATATACAGACATATCAGTTTTCACATTGCTTTATAGATTAAGTCTAAAATATGCATAAGGAAATCTATTGTCAATTTGCGCTCTACAGAGGCTTAAAGACAAAGTTAAAGGTACAAAAAGGCCAGATCTACATGAAAAGACATAAATCTGGCACAGAACGTAAAAAGAATATCAATTTCATTACGTGTTTGACTGATCAGTCGTACACTGCTTGTTGCAGAAGGAATATTTCTTAATAAATAACCAAGAAAATGTACTTTTTGCAAATGGAACTATGTCATTTTCTTAAGTTTAAATTGCAAGTGCACGTCAAACCAAATGTAAAATCCCCAAATGCAATTGGGGCCACAGCAATTATACACTTAGCAAATACAATACTAGGAAACAAGGGCAAACAATTCACAAGAACGTTGCTGCTGCTAAAATCCAGGCCCTCGCATCCAAGCACAGGACGGGACAAAACAGCACTTTTGGTTTTTGTTCAACAGAACTGTTGAGAGCTATTTTTGGAGACAACGGCATGATGAGAGATCAGAAAAATCAGAAAAAAACCCCAAACGTGCCCTCAAGAGAGATATTTGTTATAAAATATAAAACAAGAAAATGCAGTCCTGCTGACTTTTGCTATTCTATTTACCCTTCTCACTCTCTCCAGTCAGGTTTGGTTTTTTTTGTCAGGAATGTCCTGGAAGGAGTTTTATAATAACTGGAAACAGTTGAACACTGGTCCATTAGGTATTATTTTGCCACATGGCCATCACAATAACTAGTAGGAGCTTTAATACAGATATATATCCAAGAAGGTCCAGAAGCCTACCTGCCTACAAGGTCGTCACACGGTAACATGTTAAACTGATCAGTGGGGGCCTGAGTTCACATCATACAGAAGAAGAAACTTGAAAAATCAAAGAGAAGCTCTCCCACCTACATTTCCTACTAGGACCAGCCTTTTTTCTCACCTATTAAAAAAAATTACTTGCTGCCAGTAAAAACCAATCTTGTGCTCCAGACTACTAACCATTTAGTAGAGTGAAGCTGGTCTCATCTTCTGTATTCCCACCCCACACTATCTCACTTCAAAGTGATCAATGGTTATTACCCAGGACATGCCATCACCAAGTTCACAAGGTTCTTTCCTGATTTAGTTCCCACCATGATGAGCAGAACCAACAGCCCACGCCTCTGTCACACACAAGGACTGAACCATCAGACAACCACGTGCAAAGAGCAGTTCGTGCCAGGGCCCTTTGAAGCAGACTCAGTCCTACGTGGATGGGAATGTTTCCTATTTTGCATTGTTTCTGTTATTCTCAGGGGAGAGAGGCAGACACCCAAATCAAATTCTCTCAGTCATTTTAGGAGCTCCACATGGTTAAAAATATATATGGAGAGAGAAATTCCTGAACTGTCACACCATACTCCCTGCGCCAGCTCCTCTTTTAAGCGTTCTGGCAACTTCAGGACATAAGCCTAACAAAGGGCTAAGTTAAGGATTTAAATCAATTGGACAGAGCTACCAACGTCTCAATTTTGGGACACCAGATTAACTGGAATGACATTTAATACAGTCTCTACAATGCTTTAAAAGGGTTTTCTGCAAATCGTTATGTGAATGTTTAGTTTCATTCTGCAAAATTTCTGTTTCCTAATGGCTGTGTGGATTTTAAACACTGATCTCATAAACATGTGCATCCGAATGACTTTTATGTATATGGATTATGAGACAAATTACTTGACTGAAATGCAAAACAGTGGAGCTAGAAAAGGCAGGACTCCATTAGTGCACTGCAGTGTGCAGCGTGCGTCTCGCAGACAGGAAGCTGAATAAACATACAGTTTTTAATCAAAACAGTTCAGCTCCTTTGCCATGGATGAGTAGAGTAGAGGACTGCATAGAAAGATTACATTTACACTCATAATTTATCTGTATAACTTTCAAAATTTACTAAAAATATGGAATACGTTTTTGTCATATGACCATATAACTGAAGAGTCCTCTGACTGAATGTTAGACCTCCAGGTCTAAGGTCAGCGCAAGTTTCTTTCATTTACCACATAAACCATGCAATACTTACTTTTAGCCCCAATAATGCACCTGATTCTTTTGGCATGGTTGTTCTCTTGTTAAGAATAACACGCCCAATTAAGCGATCTCCCTCTTTAGAAGGCTGCCACGTCACTGGATGCTGTTAAAAAAGCAAGCAATGGAATTAAAGAAGTGAAACTATCTCCCTGTGTTTAGATGCACATTTATACACCAATAACATTTCTGGATCATTATGTCACAGCAGACACAAACATCCTTGACACGTTACATATGGCACCCAAGCTTTCTGTTAGTGTCTCTGTTGGACTCTGGCTTCATTAAACAGTTATGCCCATTGCAAAAACATCTCAGCACTAATTCTGCAGGTAGAATTATAATACAATTCAAAGTTCAATACATTTGAACATTTAAAACATGCCTTAGGTAATGGAATTAAATATTTACTTCTAAATTCTATGACCCTGAAAACCGCATTCGTAATTTCTGTTCTTTAGAATAATATTCATATTCTGGAGTTCACCACATGCGTTCACTATACAATAAAAATCCATATGATCCTGTCCCACTCCAAGTCACTAGAAAAAGTTAGTGATCTCTCCCAGACCAGCATCACACTCACAGCTGCTTTTGTGGTGTGCAGCGAAACCTAGTATCAAGTCTATAAAAGAATGAAATTCAAGTTAAAATTCAGGCAATTTTACTAGGATATATTTTGATGAGAATTTCTGTGTGATTTCAATTTCCATGATTCACTAAACCAAATTCTCATAGATTTTGTGTGGAATACTTTTTTACAACAAAATGTCTATGCTGAACTGAAATAATCATTAAATATTTTAATTCATACTTATGTACCTCTTTTTCCCTATTTCTTACCGAACTAATAGGGGATGTCTCCCTGCTGTGCCACGTGGCAGGATCCAGCCAGTAATAATCCAAGTCACCTGGAAGAACACGAATAGAAAGAAATGTGTAATCTCTCAAACAGAGAAAGACGTACGAACGATCACTCCCGTATGCAGGAATTTTAATGTGCAATAGTCTGATGAAATAATTAAAAAAACCTGTATTAAGAGTCAAATTAACCTTTAGCAAGTTGGAAACAATATACCCTAATAATATAAAACCAAAACCACATCATAAGGCATTTATTTGGACTCCTGCTTTTTCTTGCACCTCAGAATGGGTTGTGTGCTCCAGGTGGTTTTGACTTTGCCCCATCGTCTTCCCCAAATGGCTCCCATGCAGGGCATTCCCAGCCCTCCTCCCCCCGGCTCCGTGACAGATACGCTGGGGAACAGCGGGGCTGGCAGCAGAGAGAACACCCCACACAGCCCCTAGGGACAGGACAAACTTCCAGCAGCTGGGACAAGGGATGGCCCACAGCACTGGGCAAGAGCATCGCTCAGACCCCTCTTCATAGCAGGAAGAATTTGTGGAGGTTGCATCCCTGGAGGGGTTCAAGGCCAGGTTGGACGGGGCTTTGAGCAACCTGATCTGGTGGGAGGTGTCCCTGCCCAGGGCAGGGAGGTTGGAACTGGATGATCTTTAAGGTCCTTTCCAACCCAACCATTCTGTGATTCTCTGACAGGCAGCCACGCTGCACGACCTGCCCGGGAGCGATCAGCACCGCGATACCCCGGGGGCTGGGGAAGGGGGCAGCAGGCAGAACAGCCACACAAACATAACAAACAGTGCCAACAGCGGAGAGGAGCTTCAAATCTCTCGTTTTGCTTAGAATGAACTTATATCCTACATACATCAAGAATAAACCTGTGAATTACAGGGGCCCGGAGGCCGTGAGCGCATGGGGCCAAGGAGGGGAGCCATGGGCAGGGCTTGGCAGGAAAGGCAGCAGAGCCTGACACCACAGAGAGTATGGATTTACAAAAAGCTCAGGAAACCACAGCTGGACTTAATATAGTACAGCTGTAAAAGGCTGAGTTGGTAGCAGAAGAGCTCCCAGCTTCCCTGGCAGTTATCTGTGACAGAGGCTTGGTGTGACCTTGCACTCTGAGAGGAAGAGGAAGAGGCAGGGACTGCAAGAGGAAGGAACAGGGCAGTGGGATTCAGGGGGCAGTTCTCTTTCCGGTGCAGGGGACATCGGGAAGGACACGGGGGAACGACACAGGCCAGAAGAGATCCGACAGAAGGGTAAATGTGAGACTGATCCAGCAGGAACAAGGCTGACCTGCTCCTGTGCTACCTCTATTTCTAAACAGAATGTACCTGTGAGCTCTGAACCTTGGCTTTTTTTCATCCCTCTGGGCATTGCCACCGAGAACTGACAAAAATGCCATAATGTCATTAGAAATGAGAATGAGAACTCTCTCTTTTGGCCTCTTGCAATATCAGTAGTATATAAAAGCTTGATCTGAAATAACTGGGAGATATTTTTTAATTTTGTCTGAGAAAACAAGACGATGATTCTGCCATTTAGCTTAGAATGCCTTTAAAAATGTGAACCAAAAAAAACTTCCACCAACCCAAAATCCAAACTATCACTTCAGAGTCAGTTTTAGACCCTGGCAGAGACAGAGTCACCTCGCACTGAGGGTCACATCCACACCTGCACTCTGGGCATGTCTCCCCCTCACTTTGGAACAGAACCTTGACCATTTGGAATACGTCAGTGGAACAGTTTCATAATACTGCTTTTGAGTTCACAAGGGATCTTTCTCTTAAGTCTTTAACTATTACGTCCCAGAGTTAGTTTTCGTTATGGAACAACTCTTCACATGCTCTCCTAACAACACTCCTATATACACTTCACCAATCAGTTAAAAGCCACTGCGTAAAAAACCCTACTTTATCATTAAAGTCAGATACTCATTGCTGATACCGTCTGCGTTCTTCAGAAAATGCACTCTATTAATTACGTACACTTTAGGCAATACATCTTCACTATCTTATTTCAGAAAACACATCTCTATAATCCCAGTTAGATCAATACTTTTACTAACACATGGGCATCCAATAGAAGCCCAAACACAGCAGACTCCTAGCAAGGAAGAAGATATACATTTACGTGAACAATTGTCCTGGTTTCTACAAATATTTAGATGCTGATTATGAAATACAAGTTGCACCACTTTGTCATCCATAAAATCTTTAATAGCTTACCATCTACATAATCATATGCATAAGCTTATTTTTAAACAGCTTGTAATTATCATGTGCATAACCACAGGAGGCAGTTTGTGGCTGCATTAGCTACTGCAGTTCTGGAGAGCTTAACTTCACATTAACCATCTTTCACTTTTATTTTTATATTTAGTTTTATCATTCCTTGCACCTTTATAGACTTCAAAACGGGCAACAAGACCACCACTAAATTGCCAACCCAGAGTGCCACCCCAGGGCCAGCAGCGGCCTGGGAGCTGTGGCCCAGACCCCTCCAGTTCTCAGCTGTTTGCTCAGCAGCAAAGGAACCCTCAGGCAGGAATAAACGACAGCTCCGGCACACAGAGGTGTGTGCCCAAGTGCCCAAAGACACTTCTGCTCTTGTCCCCATCGCTCTGTGCTCTCTTTTCCTTTCTTCCTTCCCCAGGACCAGCTGCTAACTCCAAGTTTCCTTGCTGCTCTTCCTCCTGGTAACTGCATACCCATGACCACTTGATTCATGCATCCAGCATCCCTCCCCACCAAGCTCCTGCTGTAGCAAGATTCTCTCATGCATCTTCTGCCTTGGCTCCTCCCTGCTGAACTTACCTTTTCACCCTCTACCTACCCTTTGCTGCCTTTCTTCCCTGTCCAGTTTGTTACCACCCTCCATCTTCTGTCTCCCTCTGCTTCTGGCATTGGTGTCCTCTCTTTACCTTGTGTAGTTTAATCCCTCCTTCCTCTCATGCCCCTTGATAATAAGCTACATCCTCACATCCCTCTCCCCCCCCACATAAACCTTTAGTTTCCTGTCCCTTCCACCCCTCCAGACTGCTCTGCCTTTTGGTCAGTTCCAAGCCACGGGTTCCTTCCAGGGCCAGGTCCCTCCAGCCTCAGCTGCTGGGCGCTGGGAGCAGGAGCCGCTCCGCAAACGCGGCCTCACGGAGCCGGAGCACCGCGGAGAGGCAGCTTTCAAATCACAGCTCTTCACTGAAAGGGAGAGGTCTACGAGTTGGTGAATAATTTAAAAGCTGCAAAAATGCATGACTTAGAAAGAAAAAAGTTCACTTTCTTGAAAAATGACTGAATTTTAAAATGTCCACTAAAATTCAGTGTGAAACAGCCAGCTCTTGTTTGAATCTACCACTGCAAAAAGGGGTTTGCAACGGAAAGCGTCAGTTAGGCTACATTCATAAAATAGAACATACAAATTATAACATATAGGAACAAAATCCACAAGTAAGCTTAAAAAGTATTTTGTGCAGCACTGACACTGGCGTCTTGACATTTGCAGTCAAGAGCTCTGCTTGAGCTAGACTTTTAAAAGTAATTTCTCCTTGATCATCCTATGGCATTGTCGCTTCTTCCTTGATACCTCTTTACACCGTTCTGGGGCACTGCCACACCACAGAACTGACTATTTGTTTAATTACACAAATAAATTTAACTGAACTAGTATTACAGAGACCCAGGAATATAAATAACATGCAAAAAGCTTACTGTCTAAAAGCATGGTTTCAGAATTTCATATATTCTCAAGAAAAAAACAACCCTCCAAAACCAAAATAAAAAAATCCAAACCCTATACACTGAGTATTCTCTCCACTGGAAAAAGCAACTAAAAATAACTAGTAAAATAAGAAAAATGTAAGATACTATGAGGATGAAAAAACAACTTTTCTAAGGAGTGGATAATTGATTTACAGGCTTAAACTGCTTTTAAACACATTTTAAACAAAGCTTTAAATATAAAAATATGAAAAACTTGAAAGTAATAAGCCCCTTATGTTTCATAGATATAGTATATCTATGAAAACAAAGATATCCTATACCATTATTTTTGTACATTACAGATACATTTTTAAAACATACTAAGATGCATTTCAACTTAAAGCACATTATTAAAAATGCATTTGCAGTTATAATGCATGATTTACTTAAGACTAATGGAGTGAAACAAGTATATATCTATTAAACCTCTTTTCCTGAGGGAATAATTAAGAAGTTGTATCCTGCCAGAGATGAAATATTTTTCCTATTAACATGCTGCTGCTCGATTACTTTACTCGTGGACACAGATGGATATAAACATAAATCTACTTTACAAGACATAAATGTGTTGAGTTTTTTTTCCTCGAAAAGTCTTTTGCAGTCTTTGATCAAATTTCAAAATGGGGTGTAAAACTCTAATAATTGCCTTTGGTTTTATATCCATAACATGCGTGCCTTCAGAATAAAGGGAAAGCAAAATACACACCCCAAAACCCCATTTTCTCTCCAGCAGCACTGCCCGTGCCACCGTGCCTCCCGGGGAAGTCCTGCCGAGCCGCGCTGGCGCTGGGAGCAACTCTCTGTCTCTCTTGCAATGGCAAAACAAGCACAAAATATGAGAAACCCCATCACCATGTATGACTGATTTCCAAAGTAGCTGGAATAGCGGAGATAAAACACCCCGAGGTGTTCCCCCAAAGCCCCCCAGACAGACCACACTGCTCACGGCCAGGCGCACGGGATCAGCAGCCGTGACGGAGACAAGAAGCAGAGTCTAACGATAAGAGCCAGTCAGCCCGTGTTAGGCACTTCATTGAGCCTAACGTGCAGCTGCTAATTAATAAAGCAGTTCTATCACGTAACTAGGAATCTCAGACAATTATTTTCAGAAGCTGCATCTAAAATGAAGGCACAATTGGCTTCCTACCTAGACAGACTAGATCTCTCTAATTAATACATGTAATAGCCATTTATGTATTTACTTTTGTCAATTTTTAGGGTCAAATACAGCCTGCATTAAACAGACAATAAAGCTTATCAAAGACCTGGTCCATCCTCTCTTAATTCTTCC